GGAAACAAATCTATTTTATTTTTATTTAGTTCACTTTTTCACTTTTGTATTTAATATTATTTCAGTTGCCATCGTCATCTCGTGTGTGTCATAATTGTTGGCGAAGGTTTGATAGAGCAGCATCACATTCAACTGCAGAACGGGAACCATCTGAATCATCCAGTTCATCCTCGTTGCAATCTGAAGTCGGTAATGTATTGCACCCAGATCAACAAAGCTTAGATCATATATCACATAGTATACTGCTACCTAATTATGTAAGAGCACCACTAACACAAAATCAATGTTTTTTTCCTGGTTGTAACGACTCCAATCGACTAATTGTTCCAACAGCGTTGCTGGTACGTCTTTTTTGTGATTACAATTACTATGTACCTCCAGAATGTAGAATCTGTAACTACCATTTAAATAGTAACTCTTGGGATTTACTTTTAGAATCAATATATAATCCTATTAAAACATTTAGTGCAGCACAAATTGAAGATTTTGCTACATTATTGAAAGATAATATGCATAATCATATAGACTTTGAAAATATTGACAGTATGCCTGAGCACACTGTACATTATTATCTAGGCTTATCAAAGGCACAATACCAACAAATTCTCTCTGTAGTTCCTAGACTGTCAAGTAAACATAGGGGTTGTTTTGCACTTGCTGCATATTTAATGAAGTTAAGAATAGGAGATAGTGACGAACGCATGTCAGCATTATTGCAAGTGCCAAGAAGCACATTAGAGCGGCTTATAAATATGGCCCGCGAAATAATTAATCAGGATTTTGTTTCTATGAATTTGGGCATAAATCATATATCCCGAGCAGAAATAGCTCAAAGAAATCTTCTCATTCCAAATGGACTTTATGGGGGAGAAAATAGGAGGCCTGTCATAATTGCCGATGGTACATATATATACATAGAAAAAAGTTCCAATTATTTATATCAGAAAAAAACTTACTCATTACACAAATATAGCAATCTTATAAAACCTTTCCTTTTTGTGTGTAGTGATGGTTACATCATAGATGTTTTAGGCCCTTATCCTGCAACAACCTCAGATGCGGATATCATAAAAAATGAATTTGGTAATGAATCCAGTTCATTAAGGCAATATTTTGAATCTGGAGATGTATTCATCCTAGATAGAGGCTTTAGGGATTCATTGCCTCTTTTAGAACATTGTGGTTATCAGGTTCATGTACCTGTGTCTCCACCCGATGGTGAATCTCAGTTAACGACTAGAGAAGCTAATAAGTCCAGAGCTGTGACTATGTGTCGATGGGTAGTCGAGGTGGTGAATGGCATTTTTAAAACTCAATTTAAAATATTTCGCCAAAATTATTTTAACAGGGCTTCTAAACATTTGATGATAGACTTTGCTGTGGCTGCTGCTCTAATTAATAAATTCCACACTAAAATAAGGGACAGGGATGATGCGGCTCAAATACTTGAAATAGTTCACCAAAATATGGAGACAAATAATGATTTGTCTGAGTATGTTAGGGAACGAAATCTAAATAGAGCTAGGGCAGACTTTAGAAATATAAATGTAGACTCTGAAAATGTTAGGGAATTTCCTGTTTTAACTTACAGTGATTTAATATTAATTGCTTGTGGCACATACCAATTAAAGCAAGCTCGCTCCTATTATGGTGAGCATATTAGATTTAATGGTTGCTATCGGATAGAATTATGTAACAACCACAGGAGCAGCATTACGGAAGGAATAAACTTTATCCCTAGCTGCTCTTTAGTTATGTCTAGAATCGCAAGTCGACACATCAGTCGTAAAGTATATTTTATATATATTTTAATTAGTGGCAATGATTCTGGTAGAAGTGCAATTAAAAAGTATTGTTGCAATTGTATTGTCAGCCGTCGAACGGTAGGATATAAGGCGTAATGCATTTTCCGCCTCCCTTCATAAAGGGTAGCCCTTTCCAATTGCTTCGGGCGCAAAAAAAAAACCAATGGATTTTATCCATTGTTACCACTCTGTGCTAAATTCCATTCAGTGATTAGATATTATACTAGAGGCCAATAATTCCTTAGCATTCCCAGATGTGTTAGTCATCCGAAATTCTATTAACACCATAGGTTACACTGTATATAGAAAAAAGTCCCATACAAACCAATATTTAAACGGTGAATCTCACCATCATCCTTCACAGTTAGCTACCGTGGGCAACTCTTTGTTACAGAGAGCACAAGGGATCTGTGAGCGCAAACACCTGGCTGCCGAGCTTCAGCACGTCAAGCAAGTTCTGCACGACAACAAGCTTCGGGTCCCGCACCTATGTCACAGTGACCAAGTGAAGTCGGGCACAGTCGAGCATGTGCCTGCTGTACTACCATATTTCAGAGGTATTACGGACAAGATTGGCTACATCTTGAAGCGAGCTCCTATTAGAACATTCTACAAGCCGCTGAAGAAGATACATATAATATCAGATTTGATAGACCACAAATCCTCGCGAAAGAACATCGATTCCTGCCAAGGATTATATGTGAGGCTATTGAAATTAAAAACATTCTAATTTCAATAGAGAAGGAAGCTGGGTACTCCCACCTGTTTAGGACCCTGTAAATAGTAAAATTAAAACTAAACCCAAGCATACCACGCAAGACTTCAAGACAGTAAGTTCATTCTGCATATATCGGACCATAAATAGTTATTAAAAAGCTGAAGTTACTCCAAGTTAACACTGATTCGGTTACACCAGTCACCTCAATCCCCCATGACCATGTGTGCTGGAAAGCACCCGAAACGTCGATAATTAAAAATCAAAGAAATTAAACGCGATAAAATCGGTAAAATTAGTTAAAAAACTGTATTTGTGAAAATAAAAACTTTTATATCTTAAAATTCCCGACTTTTTTTAAACCAATTTCTTAACCATTTCATTCTTTTAATTGTATATTATCATATCTATATGCTTTTATATGTGGGCACCCATGGCCGAAATGTCTATGAAGAGTGGGCATTCCTCTTTCAAAACCAAAGTTCAGGTGTGAGTGTTCGTAATTCTTGTTATCCTAAACGGCTATACCAATTATGATGATTTTTTTCTTCGTATGGGATCACCTGGGTGGTTCTTAGTACCTAATAGTTAGACCCGGCTGCTGTCTCAGTACGTCTGCTATGTTCATAGATATTTTATTTTTGATAGTTTTTTTTAATGATTAGTACCCATTTCAGATACGATTCTGAGAGAGACAACATTTTAATTATTTTTTATTTTAACCGATATTGGGCATAGATTTAACTCTTTCAGCGTAGGTGGTTAGTAATAATTATAATAATTTATTTTATTTTGATAAACTGTACAAATTATTCCAATAAGTCTTAACTTAAAAATAGTCTACAATAACAGGCACCTGAACTAGGCTAGTTAGTAACGCTAACCACCTCTTTTACCTATGATATTCTAAAAATAAACGCCACCTTTTGGTAACTTTATGAATGAATATGACAGATATATCCCTGACCTCTATAAATGACCGTTAGGTGTCAGTTGAATCAATTGTCAGTTACAATTACGAACTTGAGATTTGATGGGTCGCGAGTGTTTTATTTCACGGAGATTGGATTATTGGATTAGAAAGGTATTTTTCGTTATTCTAATGTTATTCTTATTTTAAAATATGTCGAAAGTGTTGTTGTTTACATTTGTCTGTAGATTTGACTATAGTATTATTCGTAACATTACTAAAATAGTACTTGAATGTGGTGGTTAGTATAGGTAACCACCGTGACATAATAATAGGTCAATAAGTTACATATAATTTGCTAGATATTTACAATTTGGTTTTTGTTTTTTTTTTTTATATATAGGATGAAGCGCGCATTACAAGAAAAAGAAATTCAAAATATCTTGCAACAAGATATTCCTTCGGATCCTGAAAGTTGTGTGGAGTCGGATTCAGACTGTGGCTCAGAACCAGACATTGATCAAGCCCTTTTCCCTTTTCCCAATTTCCCCCAATTTTCGCTTGTTTTGGACAGAGGATTTGCTAGAAATAATCAGCTTTCAAACCAACTTATACGCTGCTCACTGACAAAAACTATAAACCGACTACACCTAAAGAGATTGATGTGTTTCTGGCTCTAAATTTGGTTATGGGTATTAAAAAGCTACCAAGCTACAAAGATTATTGGGCATCTGCACCTGATCTACATGATAGCTATATCTCCTCTTTTATGCCTTTGAACAGATTTGGGTGGCTTTTGAATCATATTCATTTGAACGATAATAGCTTGATTCCTTCTAGACAGAGTCCCAACTTTGATAAATTGTATAAAATTCGTCCTTTGTTGAATATTATTCAAAGAAACTTCCGCGCTAATTATAAGCCTTCAGAAAAAGTTGCAGTAGACGAAAGTATGATAAAATTTAAAGGACGGTCTTCTCTAAAGCAGTACATGCCGAAAAAACCGATCAAACGGGGCTATAAAGTTTGGATGAAGTGTGCTGAGTTAGCTGTTACTGTCTCGATTTTCAATTATATACAGGCAAACAAGAACACAGTGTAGAAAAAGATTTGGGTGCGACAATAGTAAAGCGATGATGTACAGATCTCAAAGGCAAATATCACAGATTTGTTACAAATTGCAGATTGATTTACTAAACAAAATCTTGACTTGTGGTACTGTAAATGCTACTAGAAAACATTTACCTACACTCAAAGAAGATACTAAGTTAGAAAGGGGTGAACATGACTATCGAGTCAGTGACACAAAGGTGACTGTGATGAAGTGGAAGGATAAGAGGGTCGTCCACCTTTTAAAAAAAATAAAAATATAAATTTCTTCGCAACCTTCCGCTAAACAAATACAATGATGTGTCTTACCTGGATTGAAGAGCACCTCCCGCCCTCCCTCAATTCCATGCACTAACTCCGTCACCACTAGTCCCAGCACCACTACTCCCAACACCACTTCTCCAGGCAGGACACACCATTGACAAATGACCAAGTTGCGTTCCTAGAGAGTGCAGGTGTAATGGAAGATCAATTTCCAACCAAATTTGAACAGTTTAAGTACAATGCTGATCTGTTTGAAAAGATCTCCATGGCCTTGACTAAGACCGAGGAAAAGATAAAGGTGGTACCCACCGTAAAGAAGTCGGTACGAGGATCACTAGCACAAGTTTGCTGGTCAAATGTAGAGATATTTCCTGGTGTTAATTCACCAAACGTGTGTTACACTAAATCAGGCAACAACCAGATTGTGACATCGGCAGAGATAGACGCTAGACAAGTACTAGCAGCTCTAATTCTCTCATCCCGAGTAAGAAAAGACAGTAGTGGTAATAATAGACCATATTGTAAACAGGATGGTCCAAAAGGTGACGTCCAAAAATTTTTTTTGGAATGCTGACCTTTCGGGCTACATGAAAATACCCCATGTATGTTCCGCGATTTTTCTTAGTTTACGAGATATGATTTTTTTTGTATTATTTTGAAAAATGTCGACTTAGCGATTCAAAAATTTTTTTTCTTGAAAATTCTGCTCTCTTTTCTACTTTTTTTATTCTTAGCGTAGTCTTCATGAGTTGGACTCTTTGACATAAAAAATAAGCTGCCTACCATTAATACAAATTGCAAAAATTTTAATCGAAAACAAATTATGCAGATATGATTGAATCAAAGTTTAATTTTGAAATTTAAACTAAAAATTACATAATGAGTTCCATGATTTTAAAGTAATTTTAAACTTCGCAAGACCCTAAGCTTTAATTATAATCTAAAAAAAGTGGTGGTCAATGGGCCTTGTTTAGCCGTAATCAGCCTCTAATTGCACAGAGGCGAAAATTTTCAACATTATTATTTATACACCTTATTTCTAAAAATAATTAGGTTCGCCATAGAATCTAATCAAATGAAATAAAATAAAATGAAATGTAAATCTTCGGGTTAGGGATAGTACCACTTCAGTAAGTAGCACAGATGGGTCACAAAAGACAACGAATTTCCCCTCAATGTTAACCCTTAATGCATTTTTGTCCGTTTTTTGGTACAACTAAATTATTAAAATTAAAAAGGTTCCTAAACGTAAACTGGCACTGTTTTTGAACGAAGCGTGAAGAGAGCGATATATCCATCCTCCTCGCACAGACACTACGCGTCGCGCGCATCACAAGAGTAACTGTCGTTCGATTTGAAATCTGTCAAGTCGATGTTCGGCAGCTATTCGTACAACAGTGCAGAAATTTGGTATAAAAATGGTTAAACCACTGCGACCTGCGGTTATTTCGAAAGGAGGTGAGTTTATTGTTTATTTCTGATCAATCTATAATTACTTTGCATGAGAATTTATAAGATTGTTATGCTAAATTATAAGTGTCACTTTTTACGGACATTGCCGCTTTATCAACACTAGGTGTTTAATTTTAGGTGTCCCAAATAACGGACTTTGCTAATGTTACTAACAATAATAATCTAAACGAGCACGTATGCATTTTTTTTAATGTCTAATGCTTCATGGTGATTGGTTTTAAATGCTAAATATGCTTGTTATAGGGAATTCCACTAATAATATCAAAGCATGGCGTGCGCAAAGAATTTTGGCTATGATTCCACCGTCAGATTCGGAACCATCCGACGTTGAAAATGATGAGAATAATGAAGAAGGAGTATTTTCACGTATAGTGTTAGACGATTCATCTTCCTGTCGAACTCTGTCTCCCGGGCTGGAAGAATTTTTAAATGGTTTTGATGACGATTTTGATGAAGAATTAGCGAGTCCTTCTCTATTAAATAATTGTTATGATACTTTGGTGGATTCCCTTGCAACGAGCAATATTTCTCTTCAACCTTTTCCATCTGTGGTCACCACGTCAGTACAGTCTCCAAGAAATATTTCCAATGTTCAGCCGCATCAATCAATACCATCCCTAGTAACACCACTGGGTATTTCAACACGACGCACAAGAAACATAAGAAATGCAAATGATGCAGTTCCTTCTACATCTAACCAAGTCAGAAATAAACGAAAAAAACTAGAACAGATGGAATTCGAGTTCAAACGCCAAAAATTCAGAAGTCAGATATACATAGATTCAGAATTTCACCCTTCTATAGATTATACGGATAAAACATCATTCGATTATTTCAAGAAGCTTTGGAATGAGGATTTATGGAACCACATCGTCGAAATGACCAATTTATACTCTATGCAAAAACAAGGCAAGTCAATAAATCTAACAGTCAAAGACATAAAATCCTTTGTCGGTATATAAATTTTAATGGGAATAGTAAGCATGCCAGCATATGCTGATTATTGGGCACAAGGTACTCGTTTTGCTCCTATCGCAGACGTTATGTCTCTCAAAAAATACGAGAATATAAGAGGAAACTTACACTTTAGTAATAATGCGGAGGATGATCATGTAGATCGTTATTTTAAAATTAGGCCCGTGATGGAGCACTTACGGCTAAATTGTTTGGCGATTGAAGAGGAAAAGTCATATTCCATAGACGAGATGATGGTGCCGTATAAAGGTAAAAAAGGCTGGATCTCGGCGTCAATATATGCCGAAAAAACCCACAAAATGGGGTTTTAAATTTTTTGTTCGAGTTGGGAATTCCGGGATAGTATATGGCCGTATTCAATGCTCTCCTGACGGTCAGGACTGACGTCAGTCTGCCGTAGCTATCGCCATAGAAACCATGCGTGCATTCAGAGCAGCACTGACCGCGTCCGCATACGCAATACTGACAGAGACGGTCAGTCGAGCGCGTCGGTGCTGCGTACGTCAGGTGACTGACGCGCTATGCAATGCTTCAGAGCATTTAGTGCGTTGCGGAAGCGGGACTCGAACGGACGTTAGCGTGTACAATCATGTCGAAACATAACATCGACACTGAACGTGTGATAACAGAAGTTCGAATAAGACCACCTTTGTGGGATCTATCTCACGATTTATTCAAAGATAAAGATGCCAAGCTTCAAGCATGGTTTGGAGTGTATAAAGCTCTTTTGCCCGATTTTAATGATTTGTCTGAGAATGATAAAAAAGACTTTGGTAAGTAAAAAAATGTGTTTATTAAAAATATTTTTTATTGAATATACAAGTATCTAAATAATAACAATCAAAATATAGAATCATCTTGCCACGGAATTGCGCCAACTTCAGAAACAAAGTAATTAGCAAATTTATCTCTCAAAACATCACCGGATCTGACAACCGAGATGTTGTTAGTGTTGGTATTATTTTGAAATCCTTCAATAGTTAGCGTATCCTCAAATTTATAGCCATCTCTTTCTCTAATGTAGTTGTGCAAAATACAACAGGTTTTAACAAGTTTAATAGCATTCGGCAGTGAGTGATTTATTGAGCGTTGGAATATTTTAAATTTATTGGACATTATTCCAAACGTCGATTCAATGTACCTTCTCGCCCGACTTAATCTATAATTAAATATTTCCTTTTTATGTGTCATATTGCTGCGAACATAAGGTCTTAAGACTTTATTCGATATTCCAAACGCTCCATCGCCTATTAGCACATATGGCATTGGTTCAGTGGTATTAGGTAATGGCTTAGCACTTGGTAAATTTAGTTCTCCATTATGTAATTTTGTGTACAAACTAGTATTCTTGAAAATTGTTGAATCAGAGTCTGACCCACACGAACCAACATGTATATATGTAAAACGATACTCTGAATCACACATTGCTAGTAGATTGATGGAAAAATGCTTCTTGTAATTTAAAAATAAGCTACCGCTCTTTTCGGGACAAACAATTCTCACGTGTTTGCCATCTAGGCATCCTACACAATTCGGAAAGTTGGCAACCTGCTCAAATCCTGAAGCAATTTTAAGCCAATCTTCAGGGAACCTAGGGAGCGAAAGACATTCACTGTGAAGCACATTCCAAATAGTCAGGCAAACTTCTCGAACAATGAGACAAATAGTTGATTTGCCAAGTTGATAACTGAAATGTAAGTCCGAAAACGTTTGTCCAGTTCTTAAGTACCTGGAACAAAAAACACAATTTTTTTTATTTATTATTTACAGAAAAAAGTGTACAACAAAGATGGAGAACTGCGAGAGATGCTTACATGAGATGCAAAAATTCTATGAAATCTGTGAAATCGGGATCGGAAGGCGGAAAGAGAACCAAATACGTATTTTTCAAACATTTACAGTTTCTTGACAAAAAACATGTTGCCGACACCGAAGATTCTATTGAAGAAAATGAAACAAGAGAAGATACACAACAAGATTCAAATTTAGAGTCTCCAATCAATCCACGTTCTACTGAAACAGTATCCACCAATCCAGAAACCCAACCACAGTGTTCCAGCCAAGTTAGACAAGATTCTTCAAACACAACTAAACAATCTAGCTCTACTCCTAACACAAACCCATCAAGGAAGCGTAAAAACGCAAAAACTAATGAAGACAGCTACTTCGATAAAAACATCTTGGAGTTTTTAACAAAAAACAGCGAAATTATTCAAAATGACGATATGGCATTTTTTTATTCTCTTTTACCTTTAACACGGACATTCGACAATCGTCAAAAAGTTATGTTCCGTACTGCAGTAATGAATAAAGCCCTGGAAATTTGTAACTGCCCTTCGTCTATCACTCCTCTTGCTTCACCAATGTATGCATCTACCTCTCGCCCTGAATCTTCTACTTCCAGCATGAATATAGCATCACCAGAATCTCTACCATCAGGATCTCAAGACATAGTTTTGTATTCAGTTGAAGAACCTTCGTCTCAAAATGTAGTGAGAACTAATCCAAATATCGCACATACATCACAAAATTCGGTAATCACATCTTTGTCTGCTTCCAGCTTCAATATACCATCACCAGGATCTCGAGACATAGTTTTGTATTCAGTTGAAGAACCTTCGTTTCAAAACGTAGTGACAACTAATCGTAATTTCGCTTATACGAGCACATCACAAAATTTGGAAAACCCATCATCTGATTTGTCTCAGTATATTAATTTTAAGCAATGACTGACAATCACATGATACTGATAATACTGATTGCATTCCCTAAATTACTTAACTGATTGTATTACCTAAATTACTTATTAAACTTATTAAACTTAGCACATAAACATGTTTAATTTGCCTATTTCATATTTAAAGGTCTCTAATTTCATATTTAAAAGTACTCTATGTAAGGGTGCCAGCCATTCTACCCATCAATTTTATCCAACAAAAAGAGAAAGCTGACTTTTATGTTGATATTATTAGAAAAATGCACTGATATTTTGATCAAAGAAATTTGATGAGTGGAATAGCACCCGACTACGAAAATATTTTCGATTTTATCTTACCTCAATGTCACAGCAAGTCTTTCAACGGGTCGTACTGGAATCCTAAACATGTTATGATGTTTAATATGATCCTGAATTCTTGCCAGCAGTTCATCAAAACTTTTTACTGACATCCCAAAATAATCAGAGAATTTTTCATTATAATTTCTAAGTTTTGAAAACAGAGTACTGAATTCTCCTTCAAGTAGCCTGTTAGCAATAACTGGATGTACGTGATATCTTCTTCGTTTTTTTTTCATTCGTAATCGCCTCAAATAGTAAAGAGTAATTAAACAATTTATAAACGGATTCATCACGACTATACCCTGCTGTTCCGTACGGTGGTCAGTGGAGCACAGAATGCATAAAGCCGACTGACGGTCAGTGCGTGCGTACGCACTGACCGTCAGTCCCGACCGTCAGGAGAGCACTGAATACGGCATATGACTTTTTTGCATACGATGGTGGCAACAGTTTTGACCGTGCTGATTTTACAGAGTGGGAAAATAATTATCTCGGCATTGGCGGGAGAACAGTTATAGTCTGCGCGGAAGTGCTAGTCATCGCCTTAGGTATGTGAGCGGCAGGACGGGGGAGGTAGATAAACATCAAGCTGACGCAGTCTGCCGTCAACCGCCGCGACGGTTACACGATTCAGTTGTACGCGACAGTTTTCTCCAAAAATACACGAGATAAATATTCTAAGATGGGTCCGCCAATACCACGACAAGTGAAAAATATTATTTATAATGTACATAGTTTTTTTTAAGACGAAAGGGCGACAAGGAAAGTATGGAACACAAATATGATATGAACATTAATAAATTAGTAGCAGAGGCTACAGGAGTGTCTGCCCGCACCGTAATGCGAATTGTAGCTGAAGGAAATTCGAGTCTACAAACATCGGAAATTGCAAAATTTTCATCTCCGCGGAAACCTAAAGAAATAAAAAAAGAGAATCCAGATTGATGATTTTGACATGGGAGTTATACGAAGAAAAATTCATCAATTTTATACTAGTGATAAGAAAATCCCAAGTATTCGTAAGCTGCTTGCAGTTTTAAAAGAAGATGGCATTATGAACTGCGGTTGTACCTATTTACGACAGCTTTTACATAAGATGGGATATTTATTTAAAAAATGTAAATCTAAGAGACACATTTTAATTGAGAGGCCCAGTATTGCTGAATGGAGAGTAAGGTATTTAAGAGCTATACGGAAACATAGAAATGAAAACCGAAACATATATTATCTGGACGAAACCTACGTTAATAGTAGCCACACCTCCAATATGTGTTGGCAATCCGAATCTGAGCCTGGAATTTATGCTTCAACGCAAAACTAGGCACAAGAGAAAGCGGTGAGCTGAAGTTAGGGAAATTTGGAGTAGGGCAACGGAACCGAAGGGGCCAGCAGCTGGCCGACTTTATGGAGAAAGAGGGACTCTTTATGATGAACTCTTTCTTCCAGAAGCGGCCCCACAGGAAGTGGACCTGGTCGAGCCCCGACGGTTCGACAAAAAATGAGATTGACTTCATTATGACGACCAGACGCCAACTGTTCAGTGATGTCTCAGTGATCGCAAGGGTGAAAACTGGCAGCGATCACCGAATGGTTAGAGGCACACTGAACCTAAACGTTAAGTTGGAGAGGTCTCGTCTAATGAAGTCAACGCTCCGTCCCCCTCATGCTCTGATCCAATATCCCGAAAACTTTCATCTCGAGTTACACAACCGCTTTCAGTGCCTACAAGATTGCAATGCAGTGGACGATATGAATGACAAGCTCGTGGAAACTGTCCATGCGGTCGGAGCTAAGTTCTGCAAGACCCGCCGCAGAAGAACACAAAAACTCTCCGATCACACTCTTAATCTCATGGCTGTTAGACGGGAGATGAGGCTGCAATCGTCAACAGATTTGACAGCATACAGGCAACTGAACAGACAGATCTCCAAATGCATGCGGCGAGACTTACGCAACTTTAATACTGCTCGTATTAAAGAAGCGATCGAGCGGAACCAGGGCTCCAAAGTCTTTGCCAGAGATCTGTCTGCCAGAAAGAGCCAACTGTCAAGGCTGAAGACTGAGTGGCAGCATCGTTTCCGGGACACCTGAGATTTTGAGTGAGATTGAGAGGTTCCATGGGCAGCTGTACACATCATCGTTGGAGCCACACGCAAGTGTGAGTAACGATCCAAGAGCAAGTCTTATCCGACACTATTCCGATGATATCCCGGACGTCAGTCTAAGCGAGATTAGAATGGCTCTCCAGCACCTTAAAAACGGCAGGGCCCCAGGCGAGGATGGAATTACAGCGGAGCTTCTGAAAGCGGGTGGAACACCGGTACTTGAAGTCCTTCAGAAGCTCTTCAATTCCGTCCTCCATGGTGGCACTACTCCAGAGGCGTGGAGCAGAAGTGCGGTGGTCTTGTTCTTTAAGAAAGGCGACAACGCTCTCTTGAAGAACTACAGACCGATTTCCCTTCTGAGCCGCGTCTACGTGCTGTTTTCGAGAGTCATTACGAATCGTCTCGCACGCAGACTCGACGACTTCCAGCCTCCCGAACAAGCCGGTTTCCGAAAAGGCTTCAGTACCATAGACCACATACATACCCTGCGGCAGATTGTACAGAAGACTGAAGAGTATAATTTGCCACTTTGCCTGGCGTATGTGGACTATGAGAAAGCCTTTGATTCCGTCGAAATTTGGGCGGTGCTGCAGTCCCTTCAGCGGTGCCAAGTTGACTGTCGGTATATCGAAGTGCTGAAGTGTTTGTACAGTAGGGCTACGATGGCTATCCGAGTACAGAACCAGAGCTCGAAACCTATCCAACTGCAGAGAGGTGTAAGACAGGGTGACGTTATATCCCCGAAACTCTTCACCGCTGCTTTGGAAGACGTTTTCAAGCTACTGGACTGGAAAGGATACGGTATTAACATCAATGGCGAGTACATCACTCACCTTCGATTTGCCGACGATATAGTCCTTATGGCAGAATCGCTGGAGGACTTAAGCACTATGCTCAATGACCTCAATAGTGCCTCCCAACGGATAGGTCTTAAGATGAACATGGACAAAACAAAGATTATGTTTAATGTCCATGTCACACCTATGCCGGTAGTTGTTGGGAGCACTATGCTCAAAGTTGTTGACGAGTACGTTTACCTGGGACAAATATTCCGACTAGGTAAGTCCAACTTCGACCGAGAGGTCAATCGACGGATTCAACTCGGCTGGGCAGCGTTCGGGAAATTACGACATATCTTCTCGTCAGGTATACCTCAATCTCTGAAAACTAAAGTGTACAACCAGTGCGTGTTGCCAGTGATGACTTACGGATCAGAGACGTGGTCCTTCACTGCTGGCCGTATGAGGACGCTCAAGGTCGCTCAGCGAGCTATGGAGAGGGCTATGCTCGGAGTTTCTCTGCGTGATAGACTCAGAAATGAGGATATCCGCAGTAAAACCAGATTGACCGACATAGCCCAACGGATTAGTAAGCTGAAGTGGCAATGGGCCGGCCATATAGCTCGAAGAACCGATAACCGATGGGGAAGAAAGGTTCTCGAGTGGCAGCCTCGTACCGGTAGGCGTAGTGTAGGGCGACCCCCCACTAGATGGAGTGACGACCTGGTAAGATATGCAGGAAGTCGATGGATGCAGGTGGCTCAGGACCGTGCTTTGTGGCATTACTTGGGGGAGGCCTATGTTCAGCAGTAGACTTGTGAAGGGCTGTGATGATGATGATGATGATGATTGGCAAAGGGCGTCGTTTGGTGATTGTTCATGGTGGTAGCCGAGACGGATTAGTTAACGGTGCCTTAACAATTTTCAAATCAGATTCGAAATGTGGGGATTACCATGGCGATATGAATGCCACAAATTTTCATAACTGGGTTAGTCACAAATTGAAAAATAAACTAGCTCCTAATTCAGTGGTCGTAATGGACAATGCCTCCTACCATTGTGTACAGGTAAAGAAAAAACCTACTATGTCAAGTTTAAAAAGGGACATGCAAGATTGGTTACGCGAACGTAATGTTGAATTTACACCAGATAATACAAAAGCCGAACTCTTTCATTTGATAAATAGAACTCAGTCCGAAAAAATTTACGTCATTGACGAAATATTAAAGGCTTCAGGTCATATCGTTCTTCGCCTTCCGCCATATCATCCTGATATCAACCCCATTGAGCTTGTGTGGGCCGATATAAAGAACAATTTAGCTACAAATTATATAAATACTTCATTGGACGACAAAATTCCAATCATCACAAAATTGTTTTCTGAATTCACTCCGGGAAGATGGCAAAAGTGTGACGACCACGTACAGAAAATCGAGAACCAATATTGGGACCACGATATGAGGTTTGACAATGTAATAGACGAGTTGATCATAAACCTGGGAAACGATTCAGATTCTGAGGAGGATATGGAAATTGAAGACATGTATAGTAATGAAGAAGAAGAAGATATGGATTAATTTTGTGCTATAACGGATTTCGCTATAGAACTATAGCTGGTATACCAACTGGTCCACTAGCTTTATTCATGTCTAGACACCGCAAGGTTTTAATAACCTCCTTATTTGTGATACGAACCCACAGGTCGAACATAGAATTCTCGCAGTAAGGTAATTTAGGTTTAATTTGGGTGGTGAGTTTAGAAAACTGTTTTGTATTATAAATAATAAAATCTAATTAACGCTTTTAAATACGTGTTAATTTTTGTTTAGCCCGGAAAATATAAATAATTTACCCATTATGTTAATTAAGACAGTTTCTAACATGGTTATCCGGAGATTTATCTGTCCTCAAATATCTCGTGTGCGTCTTGTCAATCGCGTCCTCCCCCGTCTCGCCGCTTGCATACCTAAGGCGATGACTAGCACTTCCGCGCAGACTATATAAAGCTACGTAAAACTATAAAGGATAAACCTTTATCAACTGTTTATTTTGACAACTGGTTCACGTCTCTGGAGCTAATATATCATCTAAGAAATGAATATGGAATTCTTTCTTTGGGGACCATAAGGAAGGACAGACTTAGAGGGCAGAATATTATCGAAGATAAAGTGCTGAAGAAAAAAGGTAGAGGAAGCTATGTAATGATTTCAGATAATAAAAATAAGCTATCAATTGTGAAGTGGGTGGACAATGACTGTGTAAATTTAGCGAGTTCATATTGTGGAGAAGAGCCTGTTACCAGCATTTTACGATATAATAAAGATGTGCGCGAAAAAGCGGCCTGTTTCATGTCCACACATTATCAAGGAGTACAACAAAAAAATGGGTGGGGTAGATAAAGCCGATATGTTGATTTCTTTATATAGGGTTGCTCTGAAAAGCAAGAAATGGTATATGAACATTTTCAGCCACCTCATCGACATTTCTCTGAATAATGCATGGCTTGCGTACAAACGTGAAATGCAGGAAATGGGTGATAATTCTATACCATTGAAAATGTTTCGAATCCAAATTGCAGATGCACTAATAAAATCAGACACGCGTATAAAAATTGTAATAGATTCAGAAATTTCTGCTGAAATCACTAAACCTATAGTTCCGAGGCCGCCACCAGAGATGCGGTTAGATGGGATCAACCATCTACCCGATATCGATACACAAGGACGGTGCCGTCTTTGTACTAAAGGGAAAACAGTGATAAAATGCCTGAAATGCGATGTAAGATTGTGCCTGACTCAAAAAAAGAAATGTTTTTTGCAATTTCATACACAAAAATAATTAATTAATTACTGTTTAATTGCTTAAGACTTTTTTTAACTGAAAATACTTTTTGCCAATTTGATTGTTTTATTAAACCCACGTTTTTGTATATTTATAAATCGAATTGTTATTTAATATGTCAAAGTTTTTAATTTTTACAGTATCCAGCACTGTCCGTTTTCTAGGACGCTAAATAAAAGAGCAGATTTTTTACGTATGCAGTGCTGTCCGTTTTATGGGACGTTAAAAAAAACTTCTAAATAAATGTTTTTTCATTTTATTTTATATTTACATTTAATTACATCCCTAACAATACATAAACATAGACTTTTTAACAAAAAATAATGTTTTATTAGTGCTTTGCCGCTTTAAGGGTTAATGAGATAATGAATAATAATAGTAATAGGCAGGTAGACGGTTGCAGATCACAAAAAATACCACGTGTCGAACAAAGGAAGCAGGAGTGAGAAATACTGTGTCGTGTGTAGCGCGCTCTCTCGCTCTGGCCATAGCTCGCGCGCATAAGGCGACAGGCGTAGCCTCAGTCATAGAGTGCCTCAGTTGTTCACAGCTATCGCTCGCGTAACTACTACTCCAGTTTTTGTTTTCGATACTTCCTAATTTACCACGACTGCTTGCTAACTGGATTTTGTTTCGCCTTATAACTGATTTGACTGTGCTTGTGTTTCGGACTTTGATTGATTACCTTGTGATTTGGATTTTTGTGTTGCAAAATGAGTTATTCTTTGAAGGAATATGCAGAAATGCATTATTTTTACGGCGTTGCCCAAGGCAATGGCCATTTAGCGGCAAGGCTTTACCGAGAGAAACTAGAACGGCGAGGAGAAGAACGGGAACTTTATCCCGATCACAGAATGTTCATAAATACACATAATACATTTATGGACGGACGAATTCCGGGACGCAGTTCCCACGAAGGAGTACCCAGAATGGATCCAGATGTCAGAGATGGAGTCGTGGAACAAGTGCAAAGATATCCTTTTACTAGCACCAGAGCTATTACGAGAACGACTGGTGTACCACGAACCTCAGTTATAAGGATACTTCAGTCAGGTAAGTTCATTTTGTCTTTAAAACTTTTACTTTGACACCGTATTAAAGCGCACCTTTGAATAGCGACGAGCGATCAAATAATTTTAATTACTTATGTGGGCAAAAACCACATTTCATGGAATAAAAACAGTGATTCCTGAAAGTACAATTTCGTTTTTTTTTCAGAGGGATACCACGCTTATCATATTCAACGCGTCCAAAAATTGCATCCTGCAGATTATTCAAGACGGGTGACTTTTTGTCGAACAATGCTGGAAAGAACTGCGGAGGATCCAGGTTTTTTTGATAAAATTCTGTGGACAGACGAGTCTAGATTTGAAAGAACAGGAGTCTTCAATATCCACAATTACCATAGTTGGGCTGTTGAAAACCCACACAAGTCAAGACCTTCAAATTTTCAAACACATTATAGTGTAAACTTGTGGTCAGGATTTTTTGAACGGGGAACTTATAGGACCTTTTGAATTGCCGGCTAGGTTAAACGGAGCCCAATATTTAGACTTTTTACAAAACAATTTAAACGGCTTATTAGGCGATGTAAACTTATTGACAAGAAGGGACATGATTTACCAAAATGATGGTGCTCCTTGCCACTATGCAAGAGAGGTACGGGAGCATCTTAATCAAAGATTCCCTAATAGATGGATTGGGCGTGGCGGACCGATTCATTGGACTGCACGTTCACCAGATTTGAACCCCATAGATTTCTTTTTCTGGGGACTCGAAGTTACCAGTCTACGAGAATCGGTGTGTGTAGTTAGCGCGCGACTTTCGTTGTTGTTTTTGAATAGTTATATTGAAAATATTGAAGTAAAATTGCTGTGGAGTAACGGTAAGTAATTGGTTTACAATAATAACATATAATTCAAACTATTTATATTGTTTTTACAGAGATGGTTTTGATTTTTGTTTTGATGCAGTAATGCATCATTGCGCTAAGCGGTTATAATTTATTTCCTTTGTGCTCGTATTAATATTTTCTTATTTCAGGCCCAATATGAGTTCGAGGATTCCACGTTCAGATCCTAGGCTTCCAATTTTGTCGTCCGACGACTTGGAAAGCATTTTAGAATGGCAAGATAGTGAAGATAGCTTAGATTTCTCAGACGACGATGATGTAGCTGATCCATCGTACGTATTGGAGGTAAATGAACAAAATTTACGTCAAGAGTCAGATGAGGAGCCCGAAGTTCCCTACCTAGGAGATCAGGACGATAACATCTTGATAACAAACTCTGAGGCTAATACCAGCGCTTCAACTCAACCATGTAAGACATCAGCTGCCGCTCCACTACCCATTACCAGCTCCGAAATTGGAACCACACCACGAAGCACGTGTTCCTAGAACAAGTATCATATGGAAAAATAAACACTTAGAGCTGAATAAAGACGAGATGAGGTTTCGGGGATCTTCTAAGTTACCAAATAAAACACTGGAATTGAAGACGCCTTATCAGGTATTTTCTTATTTATTCACTGACGACATTGTGGATCTGATTAGAGACGAAACTAACCTGTACAGCATGCAAAAAGATGCCAATAAACCTATAAACCTCACAAGCCAGGAAATAAGGGAGTTTGTTGGAATTACATACTTCATGTCCATAGTTCATCTGCCTAATGTGCGAATGTACTGGTCAGAGAAATATGGCTATGCCCACATACGCGAGACGATGCCGCTAAAACGGTTCGAATTTCTGAGGCAGGTACTACACTTCAATGATAATTCTAAAATGCTACCTTATATTGTTTGGGCTGAAAGGTTCGTATCGTCTCTATGAGATGGCGCCACTAGAATAAAATCCATATCATTTTTAGGTAGTACCAACCTTCAAAAGAAACGTGTATAAATTTGACAGCTATCTGATTATTAGTTTGTGAGATACAGCATTTTGAGTGAAGGAACTTATGTTATTTTGAAAAAAATGGATAAAAAGGAATTTCGTTTTAATGAAACACTATTTTTTGATGAAAAAAAGTGCTGCTGATACCAAAAAGTGGCTTGATGAGTGTTATCCGAACTCTGCGCCGGGCGAAGCAACCATTCGTAAGTGGTTTGCCAAATTCCGTACAGGCCATATGAGCACCGAAGACGATGAACGCAGTGGACGTCCAAAAGAGGCTGTTACGGACGAAAACATAAAAAAATCCACAAAATGATTTTGGAAGATCGTAAATTGAGGTTGATTTGTATAGCTGGCACTCTAAAGATATCAAAGGAACGTGTTGGACATATCGTTCATGAATATTTGGGTATGCGAAAGCTATGTGCAAAGTGGGTGCCGCGCGAGCTCACAATCGACCAAAAACAAGAACGTGTCGATGCTTCAGAGCAATGTTTGGAGCTGTTCAACCGCAATAGAAGTGAATTTTTGCGTCGATATGTGACAATCGATGAAACATGGATCCACTACTACACTCCGGAGTCCAGTCGGCAGTCATCTGAATGGACTGCACGCGATGAACCGAATCCAAAGCGTGGAAAAACTCAACAGTCGGCCGGTAAGGTTATGGCGTCCGTATTTTGGGATGCACATGGAATAATTTTCATCGACTATCTTGGAAAGGGAAAAACCATCAACAGCGACTATTATATAGCGTTATTGGAGCGTTTGAAGGACGAAATCGCGAAAAAACGGCCCCATTTGAAGAAGAAGAAAGTGTTGTTTCATCAAGACAATGCGCCGTGTCACAAATCGATGAAAACGATGGCAAAATTGCATGAATTGGGCTTCGAATTGCTTCCGCATCCACCGTATTCTCCAGATTTGGCCCCCAGCGACTTTTTCCTGTTCTCAGATCTCAAGAGAATGCTCGCTGGAAAGAAATTTAAAGCCGATGAGGAAGTAATCGCCGAAACAGAGGCCTATTTTGAGGCTAAACACAAATCGTACTACAAAAATGGTATTGAAAAGTTGGAAGATCGCTATAATCGGTGTATCGCCCTCGATGGCAACTATGTTGAATAGTAAAATCGAATTTTGCCAAAAAAATGTGTTTTTCTATAAAACGATACGAACTTTTCAGCCCAACTGTTAGTCAGCCAAACTCTGATAGACTGTATAAAATCAGACCCAAATACAAAAACTGAACCGTAATTTTGGAAAAGTACTACTAGAACAACTTTTGTCTGTTCAACCAAAGCACGGAGTGCTCTAAAGCAGTATTTGTCAGACAAACCCCACAAATGGGGCTTCAAACTGTTCGTGATTTGTGGTGTAAGTGGATACGGTTACAAGTTTGAAGTATACAGTGGCCAGGAGAATATATGCGCAGATGGCGAGCCTCAATTAGGTGCCTCATCCAATGTAGTAGTCCAACTTGTCAGAGATTCCTGTCAACCAAAACTATAAACTGTTTTTTGACAACTATTATACATCCCTACCTTTGATGAAGTTCTTATCACACCGTGGTACATTAGCTTTGGGCACCGTTAGGAGAAATCCCATCCCTAACTGTAAGCTCCCAGATGAGAAACAGCTGAAAAAAGCATCCAGAGGCACGTCAGTCGAACAGGTTGCAAGCTATAACGGTATTGACATATCAGTGGTGGCCTAGAAAGATAATAAACTTGTGAACCTAGTATCCAACTTTGCTGGCAAAAATCCCACATCTGTTGTAAGTAGATTCGACAAGTCACAACACATCAATGTGGAACGGCCTTTTATAGTGGCAGAGTATAATCGTCACATGGGGGTGTAGACCTTATGGACTGTGTAATGGGTCACTATAAAATAAAACTTCGTAGCAAACGTTGGTTTATAAGACTCTTTTACCATTTTCTGGACATGACCATGACTAATTCTTGGTTATTATATAGAAGGATTCATGCTGACACTGAAAATACTGAGAAGCTGCTAAGTTCTGCAGATTTTCAGATGAATTAGAAGACGAACCGCCTGAAGCGCACCAGTGACGTGGAAGCACTCATCCAAGATAAAAAGAAAAAGGGCCTTGTCAGGATATCCTGCCGAAAGATGTTCGGCTAGACCAGTTAGGGCACTGGCCAGTTTGGACGGAAAAAAGGCTTCGGTGTGAATTTCCAGGCTCTACTGGACCAGCCCCAACCGAATGTGAAAAGTGTGGCGTAGCCTCATGTTTCAACAGAAATAACAACTGTTTCCGTTCCTTTCACAATTCGTAAGTTACGAAAGGACGGAATCCATTCACAACGTTTTTATTCTGTTTTCACACATCTGCATCATTTCCAAAAATAAATACTTTTTTACATATGATTTTTTTAATCATTTTTTTCATTATTCTATCGTTCGTCTTAACCTATTTTCAATAAATAAAATCAAAAACTAGTCGTAAAGGGTTGAGGCTGAAGCAATTTTTTTATTTTTTTATACATGTAGTCCTAACTAATACAGCCATAAATATATATATATATATATATATATATATATATATATATATATATATATATATACAGAGTGAATTTCAAGTTATCACATTAAATGAAAAGACATATCCTACACAGACATATCCTACCACATACATAACGTTCTTTTCACATACATAACTAAAAGAAATGTAAAAATTAACATCCTAGTCCCAGTAGCCTCTTTTTTCGATTTAATATTAAACAACATCATGTAAATGCATATATTTATCACCTGACGAATACTAAAGGGTCAAAGACCCAAGGCCAGCAAAGGCGAAGATACCGGTAAGTTAAGATAAGTTCAAACGTTGCCATTCCGAATTACAAAAATAAAGGAAAAATCAAGCAAAAATATACTTAAGACTAACGATATAAGGCATAATTCTTATGCACGAAATTAAAAACAAAGGGAACGCATGATGCGAGTGTGTGAAAACAAATTCCAAGCAAAAATATTTACTTATAATAGATGTCCAAAGGCATAATTCGCTATGTGTGAAGTGATAAGAAATGGAAGGGAGTGGTGTGAAGATGCGTGTTGTTTATATTCGAATTTCTCTGCCGCATGGGACGATGATTTAAGTCACTTAGTTCGACGCCGGTACCCTTGGATGGTTCATGAGTCACTTGACCTAATTTTCGCGTAGGCGTCCTTTGAGTTTTAATTGTTGTTTTTTAGTTTTGTGGACATTTTGATAAGTTTCTTGATTTGTTTGTTATAGGACACTTTAATAGGATAATAATAGTTGTGATAAGGTAGTGTGACAGTTTGTGCGAAATTTGACGCTTACTTTTAGTGTTTTATATTTTTTATTTGTGATAGGAGACGTTTAATACGCTAGATAAAAACATATTTAATAACTTAGTGAAGTGGTGTAACAGCTCGCTTAAAATTGTACGCTTTTTCTTTTTAACATTTTAACTTTTATAAGTTTTAAGATGCCTCGTGTCAATTTCACGACGTCGGAATACACCGACATGATTTTGATTTACGGAGAGTGCCACCAAAACGCGGCTTTGGCATTACGAACATATCGAGACAGGTATCATACCACATGTGTATGTCCTACAGACTCACGTATTTTTATACGGGCAGTCCAAAGGTTACGCGACGGTCAATATTTGATCCCGCGTCAGGTTGAAATTCCTCCGCGAGTAGCCGTGGCTCAGGAAGAACAAATATTGAATTATTTCGCTCGTAATCCAACTTCAAGTCTCCGTAGAGCAGCTCGCCAATTCCGTGTACACCACTAGACTGTTCACAAAATATTAAGAAAAAACAAGCAACGGTCGTTCAAATATGTAAAGGTACAGGCTTTATTGGATAGAGATAAGCCAGTCAGGGAAGCCTACTGCCAATGGATCTTGAGCAGAGTAGCTAATGATTCTAACTTTTTAGCTAACATAATGTGGACTGACGAGAGCACGTTCACGCGCAACGGAATTTGGAATCGGCAGAACTTACGGTACTGGAGTGAAGAAAATCCGCAACTGTGTCGAGAGTCCATGCACCAATACAGATTTGCCGTTAATGTTTGGGCTGGAATACACGGAGATCAAATTATTGGTCCCGTGTTTATCGAAGGAAACCTTAGTGGGCCTAAGTTTTTGGAACTGCTTGACGGCCCAGTGGCGGATTACGTTGATGGATTACCGTTAGGGGAAAATAGCCGGTTATGGTATCAGCTTGACGGAGCACCTGATCATTCAGTGGTGGCTGCCAGACAGCGCCTCACTGAAATGTTCGGAGAGCAGTGGATTGGCCGATACGGACCTTCTCGGTGGCCAGCAGGGTCACCGGATCTAACACCGTTAGATTTTTTTTTATGGGGTTATTTGAAAAATTAGATGTACTCCACGGACGTAACGACTGTCGAGGACATAAAAATAAGGATTATTCGGGCTTTCGACAAAATAAAAATTTTTGCCGCCAATGATGACCTTCTTCGCAAGGTCCGAAATAATATCGTGCGACGATGTCAGTTATGCATTCGGACACACGGCGGACATTTTGAAAATCTAAAAGTTTAATTTGATTTATTTATTAAACTATAGTGACCGATAAGAGTGATTATTTGGATATCATACATTGGATATTGGATCGACGCATAAAGTCTGTGATTTGTTTATAACATCTCATGAGCATCGTCTTACACGTGCCTAGTTGCCTATGTATGGGCAAGTGTAGGTAACCTTTGTCAATGCCGCCGTGTGCCGCTGTTGCCGCTTATACAGGTCAGTAAACTAATATTATCCAGGATGATTTATTTCGTGTAATTTTTTACGCTATTTATTTTGTTTGAAAGATGCACTTTTTGTCTTTTGGTATTATGGTTTATTTTATTATTTCAACAGACGTATATCAACTTGCATTAACTGCTGTGCTATAAAAGTATATATATATATATATATATATATATATATATATATATATCGACGCTGGAAAGGAAAAAATTACTAAGCGACACTTTGGTCGATATTGAGTTATATCGCACCCTTAGTAATATAAAGGCTCAAGTCAATTTTTTTGTGAAATGTTATTTTTAACGCTTAGAACGTAAAACCAAATTATCTACCGGTTGCCGCTGACAGAGAGAGAAAAAAGGCAATAATGACTCAGTAAATGTATTTGTGTCCCTCTCACACCCTTCCCGCTCGTCTCCTAATCTTACCGCTACACAGTCGCAATTAGTAACGTGCCCATATTTATCGGAGGAAGACCGTTCAAACGTTGTGCAATTCGTGTTTGTGCCCTTATATGACAAAAAAAACAGGTGAGTTTTGTTTTGAATCTTTTGTACTATTTAGAATAATTTGTAGTTGTGCCGTAATATTACACAATATATTGATTTTTTTGGGTCTAATTATTAATAGATCGCTATATTGTCAAAAACTAAAGATGTCAAAGGGAATTATATCATAATTGCTCATTATAGTATGTAATTTTTTTTTATTTACGACGACGTATTTTGTAATAGGCCATTACTTATATGAAACATTCAATTTGTTTTTTAATTTAAGCCTTTTAAATGAAAAGTAAAATAATTAAGTTATCGTAAACTTACAGAAATATAAATCATTATTTACTAGATAGGTGGTATTTCTTGTTTTTGGTATAAGTATTGTTAGATTTAATGTGTTTTCAGAAAAAATGGAATCCCGATCACGAAGAATAATGAATCTACTTAAATCACCAAGTCACCATAGATTGGATTGCGACAGAGAGAAAGATCTTTGTTTGGGAACTGAAAATGTAATTTGACTTTTGTCTTTTTTGTTCAAGTTTTGTAATTTAATTAATGTAATTTATTTTATTAATTGTAATTTACTGTCTTGACTTTATTTATGTCATTTTTTTTCAGATTTGTAACGAAGAAAAAGAGAACACACCATTAGAACTTATTAGTCCAAAAAAAAAATCAAGTTGTGTTACCCAGCAACCAATTGATTATGATAGTTGTAAGGAGATGAGTGACGAAGTAATAGGAAATATAAATGTCATGACCTCTCCTCAGAAACCTATCAGGCGCCGTCTTTCTAGCTCAAGCTCGTCCAGCTCTAGTAGCTCTAGCAATTCTAGATCTAGCAGCAGTAACTCAAGTATTACTTCATCTAGTACTAGTTCTTCTAATGCTCATAACACAGGGCGACGACCTTTAGATGAAAACACCGATCCACTGCAAGATAGTTCTAGACATACAAACGCCGATCCACAGCCAGGTACATCTAGAGATGAAAACGCCGACCCTCAGCCACGAACTTCTAGAGACAATTTTTCTCCACCATCCATATTGACACCAATTTGCAACGATTTGCCATTGGTTCGACCCCGAACAGCGGTTTGTAAATATATAATTTCTCCACTTCATTCGGAGCAAAGTGACGTAGATCTCAGTGATGACGACCCCTCTTACATTCAAGAGAAAAACCATCGTCAACGTTCACCGAGTCCAGCAGCTGGCAATTCTATTGACGATTATGTTCCAATGAAACCAAGGAAACGTAAAGCAGATCCAAATAAATGGATGCAAAACACGCAAAAAATTAAACGAAACTTGGGTCAAAGTTATGTAGCTGTACATTCAAAGAAATTGGTCCCTGCACGTAATATTAAACCACCTTGTGGCCAAAACTGTCGATTAAAATGCAGTGATCGCATCGATAATTCTAAGAGGTTACAGATCTTTAACGCCTTCTGGGCATTAGGTGATAGACAGTTGCAAAGAATGTATATTTTGTCTAATAGCACAAAAATTACACCTAAGTACAAGTATACCAATGCCCAGAACCCGCGTAATCCAAACCATGCATTTTATTTTACTGTAAATGATGAAAAAGTAAGGGTATGTAAAGTATTTTTTATTAATACTCTTGATATTTCACATAAGATGATTCGAACCGTACAGGCGGAGAGCAGAAACACTGGAGGTTTCATAAAGGATGACCAACGTGGTAAACACAATCATCATAAAACTGCAAGTGCTGAACTTATCAATGACATCATCAGCTTTATCAACTCTATACCTCGCATTGAGTCACACTACCTAAGAGCATCTACCTCCAGAGAGTACATCAGCAGTAGTAAAAGCATTGCAGAGCTCTTTAGAGATTTTGAAGCTTTGCAAAAGGAGAGATCGCGCCCTGCTGGACTCTATCACACGTTTAATGAAACATTTAACACCAAATTCAATCTTGGCTTTTACCAGCCCAAAAAAGATCAATGTGATCTTTGTCTACAGTACCACAATTCTACCGAGTCACAAAAGCAAAAACTAAAAAATAAATATGATACCCATTTAGAAGAAAAGGAATTAAGCAGAAAAGAAAAAAAGAACGACAGAAAGAACATTGATGAATGCAATATTTGTGTATGCTACGATGTACAAGCCATTATGCAAAGTCCGAATGGTGAAACTTCGGCATTCTATTACAAATCTAAACTCAACAGTTATAATTTTACTATGACCGAATTGAATAAAATTCAGGAGGAAAATGAGTCAACAATGGATATTATCTCTAAAAGCTATGGTACTGTCCATTGCTATTTTTGGGAAGAGACACAAGGTAAAAGGGGAGCTACGGAGATAGGTAGCTGTGTTTATCATTATTTGAAAATGGTGTGTGAAGAAGCAGGTGAAAAAGAAGTTAACATAACGTTTATATCTGATAATTGCTGTGGGCAAAATAAAAATAAGTACCTCACCTCTTTATATTTATTTGCTGTGGCCAATATAAAAAATTTGAATAAGATAACTCACAAATATCTTATCAAGGGCCACACACAAAATGAGGCTGATAACGTACACAGCTTAATCCAAAAACAAATCACTAGAGATCTGAAAACAGGACCAATATACTCGCCAGTACAGTACATTTCAGCTATAAATAGAGCAAGGAAGTCTGGCACCCCATTTAAAGTTCATAGTTTAACCCATAATTTTTTTTTATGATCTTCAGCAACTGCAAGAAAAATGGGGCTATAATTTTAATACTGACGAACAGAAAAATAATGTAGTATGGAATAGTATCAAAGTATTGCAATTTACCAAAGACGACCCCTTTTCTTTTTATTACAAAAGTTCATACAAGGATGATTTCAAAAAAGTAAATGTTCGTAACAAGAGGAAAAGAATGCCAAATATTGAAGAAATAACTATGCAAAAGGCATACTTAGAGCCACTTCAACTTAGTTCTGCTAAAAAGAATGATCTTAAGGATCTCATTGATAAACAATTGATAGATCCATACTATGCTTCTTATTACAATACCATGTTGTCTTAAGATATTGTTAAACATATTAGAGATATTTTTGTTTAGACAAGACTGATTACTATGTAAAAGTACTACTTATTAGGTTTTTGTTTATTTTTCATACTATACATTTTTTGTTATGAGTAATTATCTGAGATTAAAATGGAGTAAGTGGAGAGGTTAATATAAAAACTGTAACGCTGAAACTTATAAGGGATTTTATCCTTAAAATAAGGTTTTCATACTTATCATGTTGACTTAATTGTTTTATTATAATTTATAAGAAAAATATCTTAAATATTTGATACTTTTGTTATGTAAAGTTTTTGAGGCTTTTGTTTACTTTTGCTAAGTAAGTATGGATAGTTTTTTTAAGTCTGAAGTGAAAAATATTGTAATGTAGAATAAATAGTCATGTGGAAGTTATGTAGCTTTATAGTTGGAAAGTACCTACTTGTAAGAGTTTATAGTTGTAATGTTATTAATAATATTATGTTGACTTAATTGTAATATGACAATAGCTCATATGTTTAATTGTTGATAAAAAGAAACAACTAGGAGATTGTTTGTTATTTTGGGCTGATTATTAAAGTATTATTTTTATTCATATCTGATGTTTTATTTATAAAATGGAAACAATAAGTTCAGACCTGTGGTTTGATTTTGTTATACAGAGTACCAACTACGATTGTAAACTAAACAGTGACATGGATGTCAATAATATACTGAATCAAATCTAAATAGGTCCACATTACTATTATATTTTTTGTGATATATGGGCCTAACTTGAAAGTGATTTTTCAAATGCTTATAATTTATGGAATTTCATAATATTTTATTTTATTTTATTGGCTACTTATAGAATATCTCTTAAAGAATAAGCCCTCAAAATTTTATATATGTAACTTAAGTAATAAGAATTTTATTCACAAAATAAACCGGGACGTAAGAATCCAGAATCTTTAAACACGTATACCCAAAGAATTACTTTTTAGTTTTAGGCCCATATATTACTGGGGGTGCGATATATATCATTGGAATCGGATTTTTTTTTCTGCGTCGATTGGTCCTACTCTCATTCTCCTGCGATGAATTTTATGTCGTTTAGTAATTTTAAAATTCGTGGGTTTTTCGGAGTTTTCGGCGACCAACCGACGAAAATTTTGTTCATTTTAAAAAATATTACGTTTAGGACATTTTGTACTTTACTGTATTCCTACTTAGTAAATATATCCTGTTTTTGGTTTAAACTATTTTGGCTTTAAGTTACTTTTTCCCGAGCTTATGAAAAAATAATTATTTATTTAGCTAATTCTTACCGCTTAAAAATTTTATTTTTTGCAACCTCTTACCTTTTTACCTGTCCTTAATATAAACGTTTTGTCATTTGGATATTTTTTACCAGTTCTTATTAACAAAAAATATGTCGTTTAGTGATATTTTTCCTTTCTATAATTTTGTCGCTTAGATAAATGTGACCTGCCGTTGTGAAATATTTTTTGGCGTTAAGATATCTCTCCCAGAAAGCTTTTTTTAATAAAACGTCGGTTGAGTTTTTCGCGTTGATCTTGCACTGTCGTGTAGTCAGGCTGTGATTTAATATTCGAGTGGCCGTGAGGAACAAAAAATTGAATCATTGCGCGGCAAGCTGTCGCTTAGTCAACACGTGTGTCACCGCGCATCCCGATGACTCGCCGCTTAGACTAGATAACCGGTAATTATTTTTATTTAACGTGTTACATATTTTTCTTATGTTGTAATAATATTTGAGTTATTTTTATTTTACGTGTTTTAATCTATGTTTTAGAATAATGGATCGACAAAAACTGCGTTCATCGAAATTAATAGACCTAGCTTTAATGAATGCAGATATCAGTCCAAATACGAGGGTGGATTGAAAAGTACTCGGCCTAACACAGATCCATTCAATTCTAAAAATCAAATCTACCACATTATTTAGTTTAGTTCAGACTAGTTCATTGTGTGAAGTTCGAAACGTGTGCGATAATTAGTTGTGATTTTATAAATTTATTAACAAAGTAATCGGACATAATTTCCGCGAATGGAGCAAATCGAGCAGCGTGCCGTCATTAAGTACCTCCATAAGAAGGGGCTATCATCAAAAGCCATCCATGATGACATGATCAGTACATTAGGCGATTGTGCTCTGTCATATTCATCCGTCAAAAAATGGATAGCAGAATTTAAGCGTGGTAGAGAGAGTGTGAAAGATGAACCCCGCTCTGGAAGTCAACTACTGACGAAAATATTAAAAAAGTACTTGATTTAATAATGGGAGACCGCAGATTAAAAATTAGAGAGATAGCCGAGATTATAGGCATCTCTTATGAACGAACTCAAAACATCATTGTCAACGAGTTGGGTTTCCACAAGGTGTCTGCGAGGTGGGTTCCGCGACTGCTTTCAGTTGAACAAAAAAGGACGCGATTGACTATTTCACGCCATTGTTTGGAATTATTTGAAGCCGATGCAGATGATTTTTTGAATCGTTTTGTTACTATGGACGAAACATGGGTTCATTACTGTACACCGGAAACAAAACAACAATCAAAACAGTGGAGAAGACCTGGTTCACCACCCCCTAAAAAGGCTAAGTCGATTTTGTCGGCAAATAAGGTGATGGCTTCAGTATTCTGGGACTCGAAAGGTGTGATTATGATTGATTATCTTGAAAGGGGTCAGACTATAAACTCTGATTACTACTGCACCTTACTACGTCGTTTACGAGAGGAAATAAAAGAAAAACGTCGAGGAATGCTCAGAAGAAAAGTCCTGTTTCATCAAGATAACGCCCGTGTTCACACGTCAGTACAGTCAATGGCTGAAATTCACAACTGTGGCTTTGAACTGTTACCGCATCCGCCGTATTCACCTGATCTGGCACCATCAGACTTCTTTCTGTACCCTAACCTAAAAAAGCACTTGGGAGGTCAAAGATTTTCGACAAACGACGAGGTCAAAGCAGCTGTAGACGCATATTTTGACTCTAAGGAAGAATCATTTTTTTTCAACGGTCTAAATGCTTGGAAGGGGAGGTGGCAAAAGTGTATTGAACTTGATGGTGATTATGTAGAAAAATAAAAATATAACTGATTTAGTATGTGTTTATTTTCTTGGTTAGGCCGAGTACTTTTCAATCCACCCTCGTACTTCGCTAAATGATAATAAAACCTCTGTAAGTTATCTCCTAATATCTTAAAGATTAACTTATAATTAACTTTATTTTGACAATAACATAGTTTTGATTTTCTATACAGGACTATTTACCCATACAAGATGATTATGGTGAGCATGTGACCGCAAATAAAAAAGGTATGAACCGGAAAAATCTCAAGAAGCAAGTATGCAGAAAGCTTTTGTTTGAAATGATTGAACCGGAATGATGCACCGGTATGTATATTCCTACCTATCAAATTTTATAACTTATCATCTATCCGATACTGTTCTATCCTAGCCAAGCATCCACGCGCGCAACACGTACGAACATACGTACTTACATCAAACGTGTCGACATCTATGTGTGCTGACACATCGTAAGCGATTCGTATTGCAATAAATAAAGTCCGTACAGTGCGCGTGAATTTTGGCGTAAAAGCTGATCAGAAACATTTTTAATCTTACTTACATAGCAATTATTTTTTTTATTAGTTTTATATTGAAAGTCGGAATGGGACAGGTAGATAGCAATTATGATGTTATACAGTATTATATAAATTTGCACTATTTTAGGATGAAATGCTGATAAGTGCATCGACAAGCCCAGTTGCAAGTACATCAAAGGCACTTACCGTTTTTGAAGAAATTGAAAAGGTTTACAGTGAAGGTCCAGTAAATATAGATTATGCACACGTGGAAATCCCAGGTACGTCAACTCTAAACTCCAACCAAATCGCCGATAATGGGTTGAATACACCAAATGAGCAGACTCGAAGCACCATTACACCAAGTACCATTTCGACGAATTTGACAGTTGATGAAGGCTTTCGTTATGGGGATTCGAAAGCAGTAAAACGACGAGGTCGTAAACGTAATTGTAAAACTAATAAACGTTATATTGACTACTTATCCGATGATGAAGATTTTTTTTACATTTTTTAATTGCGATGGGGCTGATTTGGATTCAGATGAATGGTCGGGATCAGAGACGTCAGAAAACGATGATGTAGGTGATATTAGGACAAAGAAGAAGAAAAACCCAAAATCTAAGCAGAAGAAAAAGGTAGTTGTTATTATACAAGAAGAACCAATTGTAGGTGAAGAAGGTTTTAGAAAGGAGAAGAAAAATTCAAAGAAAGAACGACAACAAAAACGATTCAAGGGCGAGGAATATGTACGAAAGGATGGTAAGACTGTAAATGCTAAATGTCTTCAACCCAATCCATGTAGTGGAAAAAAATGTGGCAACAATTGCGAAAATATTTCGGATGAGAGAAGACAGCAGGTGTTCGATCATTTTTGGAAACTGACAGTAGACCGCCGACGAGACTGGTTGGTTAATTTAACACAAAAACTAGCTGTAAAACGTAAACGTACCAACTCAGACACCCGTGTTAATACTTTTAAATACCACATCAATGAAGGAGAAGGAAGGCGGGTAGTATGCTTGCAATTCTTGGCTGCTACATTAGACATTTCAGCAAAATCTATCTACCATACGGTCAAGAACTCTGAATGGGGCTGTGCTAAGGAAGATTTACGCGGAAAATGTATACCACCGAATAAAACAAAACCAGATACCATTGAGAACGTTGTGAAATTTATTAAAAGTTTACCGGCAGTACCGTCTCATTATTGTCGCCATGATTCCTCCCGAGTCTACCTTCCGCAAGAATTTAAAAATATTCCAAATGTCTACAGCATTTATAAAAAACGTTTGGAGGGCGACGGTGTTGATTTTGTTAGTGAAAAAGTATTTCGTAGAATTTTTACAGAGGAATTCAACATAGGTTTTCACGTGCCTAAAAAAGACAAGTGTTTGAAATGTTTAAAATTTGAGCGGTCAGATACTACAGATCCAGTTAATGCGGAAAAAAAAGTTGCCATGAAAATGAGAAAAATGAGAGCTACAACCGTTTTTTTTGCTCACAAAAACATCCATAAAATTGATCCTAATACTCTATGCGTAAGTTTCGATCTAGAAAAGGTTCTAAATACTCCACACGGCGAGTCCATGCTGTTGTATTACTCGCGTAAATTAGCGGTCTATAATTTGTGCTTCTATGAGAATGGTACTCGCAGAGTATTCTGCTTTTATTGGAATGAAAGTGATGGCAAAAGGGGTGCTAACGAGATAGCCAGTATTTTAAATAGGTATATAAAGTTGGTAGATGAAAGAGGTAACATAAAAAACTTGCTCCTTTATTGCGACTGCTGCCCAGGGCAAAATCGGAACCGGGTTGTCTTGGCGATGATACACTCGACTTTGCAAGAATGCAAAAATCTTGAAACGGTACAAATAAACTATTTACTAACCGGTCACACTTACATGCCTGTCGATAGTGTACATGCTTTATAGATACTAATTTAAAGAAGACAATCATTTATGCACCATCGCAATGGTACACCGTATTTAGCACAGCAAGGAAAGATCCATTTCCATACGAGGTAGAAAATCTTCATTTTGAAGATTTCTATAAATGGGACTCAATATCTGAAAAATATTTTAAGGGCAATTTGACGGGAAAAATTAGTAAAATAAGGATTTACGTTTAAAAAAAATAAGCCTGAATCTGTTTCAGTAAAGTATACTATGGCACAATCTGGAAATGCAAGTGTAATTGAAATCCAGTCAAAAACCAGAGTGCCTCTTATGTCATGCTATCGATCATGTCTACCTATATCAAAGCTGAAATATGATGACTTAGCTAAACTTTGCAAGGACAAAGTTATACCTGGTCATTTTCAACATGAGTACTTAAACATTCCACATTCACAAACAGAAAAGGACAGATTACCTGAATCAGATATTGAGGATCTTGAGGTTTAACCTACTTTAAAATATTTGGCAGTTGATTTAAGTTTAAAGATTAAGTTACCGTGTCACAGCTCTGAAATCTTCAAGTTCTAAAGATTTTGGAACTAAATCTCGATTTAACAATGAATGAAAACCTATTCAGTAAATGTTATTATAATTACAAATTTTTGAATGATATTTACAGTATTTTATGGTACATTCATAGTATTTAATGATTAACATTGTGATATAGTTACTTAAAACAATCATTGAAATATCAATGGCTTCATATTTTTACATAAATATATTTAACCCTAGATCACTAACCTTCGTCAAAACGACGACGCGGACTCAAAAAAAGTGGTATAAATTTTGAGTGCGTCGTCGTTCGCATTCCAGATTCCGGCTAATCTCAGTTGACACGTAGCTCGCGCGGCCCACGAGTGTATTTTTTGTGTAGGGGACCTGTGTACGCCATTCCAGCCATCATGAGTCGTCGAATCGACGAAGGTTAGTATTAACGTTATTCTTGCAAAGTTATTTTTCATTCTTTTTTTGGTGTTATATGTATTTCGGTGTTTTGTAAACTTTGTACTTAATTTGCCTACACTGAAATAAGAACTTACATTATTTTAATTTGAATATATTTTTATTTTAGATACGATTCGTCAGCTGTTATTAGATAATAATAGTGACGAAGAAAACTGCTCTGAGAGTGAAATAGAAGACCACCTTGAGGCTGATCCAGCTTATGAAACAGACGGTGAGGAAGAGATTTTTTCTGTGACAGAACAACCACCTTCAACTGAAGACATCCAGGCAAGTACATCTTCATCAATTGAAGACCCGTTACCTAGTACTTCAGGTCAGCCACACGAATTAATTATTACACCAACAAGTAATATTCTTCGCGGAAAAGATAAACACAAATGGTCATCAGTGAAACCGAGTTCACGAAGCCGAATAGCCTCAAGAAATATTGTTCATATTAGACCTGGGCCCACGCATAATTGTAAAAACGAACTAGATCCGCTTTCTTGCTTTTTATTTTTTATAACTGATAGTATGATTGATTTAATTGTAACCCACACTAATGCCGAAATAGCCATAAAATGCGTTAAATACAAGGATGTAAAAGCCACCCAGAGACAGACAGATTCCAATGAAATAAGAGCTCTGATCGGGATCCTTACGTTATCTGCAGCAATGAAGGATAATCATTTACCATCAAGGGAGCTTTTTGATGTTACCTTTTGTGGCAATCGATACCGAAGTACTATGTCTAATGAGAGATTTGATTTTCTTATAAACTGTCTCAGGTTTGACGATAAGTCTACGCGCGAACAGCGAAGATTGACTGATGTATATGCCCCTTTTCGAGATATGTGGGATCTTTTTATAACTGCATGTCAAGAGAACTATAAACCTAGTTGCTACCTTACCATTGATGAACAGTTATTGGGTTTCAGAGGCAGATGCCCTTTTAGAATTTATATTCCAAATAAACCCAACAAATATGGTGTGAAAATTGTAATGTTGGTAGATAATTCTACAAAGTATATGGTGGATGCCGAGCCCTATCTAGGTTCTTTTACTAAAACTGATGGATTTCCGCTTGGCGAATATTTTGTCAAAAAATTGACACGGACTGTGCACGGCACAAATAGAAATATAACAATGGACAACTGGTTCACTTCGGTACCACTAGCCAAAAGTTTAGTAAAAGAACCGTATAAGTTGACATTGGTTGGGACTCTACGTGCTAACAAAAGGGAGATACCGTTACAATTACAGCACGAGCGTACCCGTAAGACAGGAACAGCTATTTTCTGTTATGACAAGGAACTGACATTGCTTTCATATAAGCCAAAGCCCCAAAAGACAATATTCCTATTGTCGACTTGTGATGAGGAAGGGACAATTGATGAATTGACCAAAAAAGCCCACGATGGTCGAGTTTTACAATCAAACTAAGGGCGGAGTAGACACCTTGGACCATATGTGTTCTCTCGCTTCTTGCAGCCGAAAAACTCGACGTTGGCCTTTATGTAATTTTTACGGAATGCTAAACATTGCATTTATAAATAGTTATGTTATATATGTAACCAATACTTTGGAGGCTAATAAAAAACCTTTATCGAGGCGTGAGTACTTGAAAACTCTGCATCAAAAATTAGTCGAGCCACACATGCAAAAAAAGATTACAAATTCCGACACTTCAAACGGGGCTGCGGGACTCAATAACAGCGATTTTGTATATGCCAGGAACCAGTAGTTCTACTTCTACACATGAGACTGATCAAAGAGAAGATACAGTTTGTCTTCCTATCGCCAAAAAAAGAAAAATTTGTGCAATTTGCCCCTCCGCAAAGCGAAGAATGACAAAGAGTTGTTGCACCAAGTGCAACAAATCCTTGTGTGGCGAACACAAACTTGAAATTTGTCACAAATGTATTAATTAATAGTTTTTTTCTAAAATGTTTCTTTCTTTTGTTGATTTTATTACTTAATTTTAATATTTTAATATTTTTTTAAGTCTTTGTTTTTTTTTCGTTAATAAGAATTAAGTATTTAAAAAAACAAAAATGTTCAAATGAGTAAAAACTCTGGTCTCAATTAAAAGACTGTCAAAGTAATTAAAATGTGATTTTAGTAAATAAAAAACTTATAAACATGTTAACAAATGATATTGTAATAAATAAGTATAACACATATAAATATTTTATTCCATAAACCCTTAGAAGCCTCCCTTTTATACGGCGTAGTCGAAACGACGAAGGTTAGTAATAAGCGTTGTAAAATAAGGTTAGTGATCTAGGGTTAAGGATAATGATTTATTTTTAAGTATTTATATTTCTAGTAATTATTTTAGACTGATATATGTAAGTGCCCATAATTATATTAAATTAATAGTCATTATAGTTTTACAACTGTTAAAATGCTGGCCAAAAAATAAATATTACATAACATGTTGTGGTGTAATGCTAAGAAAAATATTTGATTATTTTAAAGATATTGCAAAGTTTACAGTTTGTTAAATAATTCTAAGTGATTGGCATTACAATTGCAAAATGTGATTTCTTAATATAATTTTTATAAAACCGAAGATCTGTGACGATATATGTTCCTTGTAATACTTGGTGTACTTTTTATTTTATTTTTAGAGGTTGTTTTGGTTTGTAAGCGTGATTTTGAATCACCAAATTTAATAATTGTTTTTTCTTAATAAAGAATTCTTTATAAAAAAATACTACTGTTTTTTTTTGTCAAACCTAGGAACTTCATTGAATAATTTGAGGCAAGATCTAATTTTAATTTGTACTCTGGTAAAAAAAATCCCTGTCAAAAATTAATTAATCATGAAGTGTTAAGTGACTTATCCCTGAACATAGTTATGGTTTTTAATTATATAGGTATTTTTTCCATTCTCAAATTCTTGGAAAGTAATTGATTATTACTTTTTTCCCGTACTTACATTAAGGGTCGGTTGGCCGTTGGTCGGTTTTTCCCATCCGTATTTTTATTTAATTTTTTACTAAGCGACACTAACTTCGGCAATCGTAACCAAAGCAGAGATTTATTAACATTAGGTAAATAAGGATCAAAACATCTTAATAAACACATACAAATCATACCAGTAAGATAAACAGTACAATTTAAATGAATTTTTTTTCAAAATTTCAAACTTTAATCGACTCTCCTGTAAAGTTGCCTATATGTCGCTTAGTAATTTTTTCCTTTCCACCGTCGATATATATATATATATATATATATATATATATATATATATATATATATATATATATATATATATATATATATATATATGTAATATATATTTTATTCGAAACATAAAAGTGTGGCTCAAAGAGTTAAACCAAATAGGCCGAATGTTTTATCGAAAATATAAGTATCCTTTAGCATGTTCGGCTTATTTTTGAAAAAATGTGTACTTTGTATCCCTCATGGATAAAACTCGCCAACACGCATTGGGGCAGCGCGGCGAACCATTCCTTGCCCTAAAACCCTCTCAGTAATGAGGAGAGGCCTGTGCCCAGCAGTGGGACGTATATAGGCTGTAACTTTACTTTAATATTCCGTTTCTCATATATGGCCTAATATTTAAATTTAAACGTTTTGCATGTACAAAAACTTTGTTTTAATGAAATCACGATGTTTGATTTTTGGGAAAATACCAATAAGACATGTTAAATTTGTCTGTACTCTCTAGCAGACATTAATGATACCGCAGAATGAAAACATTGAATTACTTTAATATATATCCATAGTGCATTTGTCTAACACATTTCTTTTTTATTTTCATTTTATGTTGATTGTAATAAATATACTAAACTATTATACAAAATAAAAAATAAAAATATAAATTTCTTTGCAACTTTCCGCTAAACATATAAAATGATGTGTCTTACCTGGATTGAAGCGCACCTCCCGCCCTCCCTCAATTGCATACACTAACTCCGTCACCACTAGACCAAGCACCACTACTCTCAACACCACTATTCCAGGCAAGACACACCATCGACGATAATACGACACGTGTTTCGCCTCTACACGAGGCATCCTCAGGTAATATAGACTCTACGGTGGCTGACCGCTAAGTCTGACAGATACAGACAGATGTCAGACTTAGCGGTCAGCCACCGTAGAGTCTATATTACCTGAGGATGCCTCGTGTAGAGGCGAAACACGTGTCGTATTATCGTCGATGGTGTGTCTTGCCAAAAAAGTGAGTGAGACTGCGAGTGAACTAGCGTAATCGGGCAAAGGGAAATAATTTCCCATGTAAAAAATACATATTTCCCCCACCCCCCACCACTCTCGCATATAATTTTTGGCATCTATGGCATCAACTTACACTAAATCCTTTTTCAGATTTAAATTATCTTTCAAGCAATCTACTAATCTCTCTGTTTCAACACTGGTAAGACTTCTAATCTTTTTTACAGCATATGCTGCAGAACTAAGTCTGCTAGCTAGTTTTGATATATGAGGTCTCATTGAAACTTTGCATCTAGTGTGATTCCAAGAAAAATTGTGTTTTTATTTATTCATTATCACAGACCAGTGTTACCATACAAAATAGAGTAAATATTTGTTTGCCAGAAAGTAGCTAAATTTTCTATTAAGTTATTAACATAATCACTATCATATGTCACTAAGTGTCTACATTTTTCGTTTCTTCAAAAATACTATAAGCAACACAAAAATAGCACTTTTTACACCCATCGCATACATTTGCACCTACGGCTTACATTTTTCTGTGATAACACCATTTTTCAAATAACTGTCCTTAGATTTGCGATGGCAGGGCATTTTTTTCAATGATGGCACCTATCATTAAACCATCAGGTTGATGCCGCAATCATGAGATTCTCTTTGCATACGTAAAGCCCACATGAGGTGATTTTTCTTTTCAATTTATTACTGACTGTCTTTCGGACAGATAGCTCCAAATTTCTACCTCTTCTCATTGCAGCTGTGTCAGGTATTTATGCCCCATGATAGAAGCCACCACTGAATAATCTGGTATATGACAAACACTTACTTCATGTACCTTTGAAGCTGTGATACAGCCATATCACATCTCATACCACAAGCTGCTTTTGTTCTGCCTTCTTCTTGCTTCTTCGATGGTACTTATTACAGCTGCAGTGAATGTTGCTTCATGTCAAAAAACTTGTCTGTCTACACATGCTTTAGTTTCCGGAGAGTAAGAATATCGACCACCCTCGTCTTGTCTCGTGAGTGTCTTAAGAGGCGGAACCTGGAACAGGAAATGGGTAGTCAACTAAATACAAGTTTTTCAGAACCAATGGTAAAAACACAGAATGACAATGACAAAACATGAAATTTACTAAAAAAGCCAAATAGAGATCAGTCAGATCAGAAATAGGTCCTACAGTTTTGCCGTCTTTACGATAAGACCGATTTACACTTCGACAAGTACAGTAGCAAGTTTAGTTACAGGGCAGTTGACAGTAAACGGTTAAGTGGACAGTAGTGTTCAAATGTCTTTGTGGCGAATTTAGTTAAGGATATTAGTTCATAGAGTTCGTTGGAGTATGACGTTTCAAGACCTCAGAATTTTTCTGGTTTTCGTTTAAGATGGTTCTAGGATTACATTAAGAATTAAATTATACAGTCAGAGAAGTATTAATGGTTGTTGTTAAAGAAGTTTTTAAGAATTTTCTCAAGCAGATTTAATTTTGCAATTTGAACTTCTACTATTATATAAACATTCGTTTTCTAAATACTCCTGTACACATTTATATGTAATATCTTCCATCCATTTTATTATTAAAACTCAATATAAATCGTATAAATATTCAATAAACACTATCGTACAAACTTTGTGGCGAGTTTAATTATAAAAGTATAATCGTACGTTTTGGCGCGCAAACGTTGCATCCTGTCAAATTATGCACTGAACTGAACTCGCTCGTTTACACGAACAGCGAGTTTAGTTGCGAGTGGCGGGAGACGCGCGGGAGGGCAGCACTTCGCACTTAACTCGACGAAAAATAGCTCGGCCGGCTATCCCGTTAAACTTAATCGTTAACTTGCTAATTAACTCGCTTATTTCTGTTCAAACGAGGTTCAAACTTAACTCGCTAACTTGAGTGTAAATCGGTCTTCAAGCACAATAACTCGAGTTTTTGGGCTTACTGACTTAAGTACATACCCATAATCAGGAAAATGAGCTCTATATTTTCTTCTTAGATGTCTTTTTTGTATTAGCGGCAGATTCGGTTCTTTTGTTAAGCATAACTGCAATATCTAACAATATCATTTGTAAGTTGCATATCATGAACGAAATTACTTGAGTTATGGCATGGTAAGTTGGTAAGCTACAATATTTTGTTATATTTCCATAGATTATCGCAGTAAGTCCAGTTATTGCACTTATGATTAGCGCATTTTTTTTTCATTTAGGACACATTTACTAGTCATTAGCGCAACAAGTAAAAGTTATTGCAGTTATGTTAAGGAATCTTAAATATTTAAAATTTTAAGCTTACAATTTGTATTAATATAAAGTAAGGTTATTGCATTGTATTTTAAGAAAAAACAGACAAGATTTGAAAGGCTATAAATACTAAATCGCAATTTGGCTTCGAGTTATTGCAGCTATGAGTTGTAAAGAGGTCACCAAGGGCCGTTTTAGATTTCCGAAATGATTTTACTAATTCTTTTAATGTAGTTCGCGATATTGATCTCAATATTCTAAAATGAAACAAAGAGAACAGCTTGTTACATATAATTCTTTACAATGTCTTGAAATCCTTCTATTGTTCAATAAAGATGATTTTTTTATCCTATAAAAAAATCATTTATTCATTGAAAGGTTACAAACGAGCACACCATTCACCTGATGGTAAGTGGATGCTGTGGCCCATAGACATCTAGATTTATCCTCGATTAAGAATCAAATCACAGATGTGTTGTCACCCATGAGGACTAAGATGAAATGCCTCCTTTCCAGTAAAAAGGGTCTCCGGTTCTCGATCGATTCCGGATCTCAATCTCGGTTTATTGGTCCATTATAAAACAGTACAATAAATACTGCATCACACCACTATGACACTTAAAATCATGCTGATTTTTCTCTTTTAGGTTTCTGATTATTTCAGTTAGTCATTCAGTACTAAGTGCTGATTAACTTGGTCTGTGAGGTACTTCTTTTTTTAGACATCTGCTGCAAAGTGATATATTTCAGAGTTATCCCTACTTTAGAAGTAAGCTTATTTCAATAGCACTCTATGGAAGTACATGCAGGTGTGTTTTGTAAGGTAATTGTTGAGAACTGGAGACCCTTTTTACTGGAAACGAGGCATTCCATCTTAGTCCTCAGGAATGGCAATGCATCTGCATTTTGATTCTTAATCGAGGATAGATATATGTTTATGGGCCATAGCAGGCACTTATGATCAGGTGGAGTGCTTATCACACATATTCTACAAAAAAAAAGAAATAAAAAGGTTCACTAGAGCAGCGAAAGTCCCACATCAAAAAAGCAACTGCATGCTTGCATTCCCCAGCTGAAGCAGCACAGTCGTCGCATTGACATCTTATAATTTCGCTGTCATTTTCGTTAACAATCATCGTCATATTATATGGTTTCGTTTTCACTTTATGCTTTGGGCATATTTTACACATTGCACATAACCATTCGCATCATCTCCATGGGATTCCCTTGGAGACCTATGAAACAAAAGCAAATATCATGACAAAGAGTCTAAGTATATTAACATAACCTAAAATGAGATTTTACAAGACTTATGAATGATGATCATATTTAAAGGTTTGTAAATAAATAATTTCTATGTGTTACGTACACTGCTATTTTCACTTTCTTGTGTTCCGCAGCACAGTAATAGGCGTTATCCTTGGGATAATAATTAATATTAATTTTTCTAATTAATTAACGAATAAATCCGTCTATCTTAGGTAGGTTGCTGTTATCGGCTAGCACAAAATTTGACTCCATTTTGAGATTCCAAACGAATATTTATGCTGCGCTAGTTATAAGATTTATCAAATAATTGTTTTAGAAATAGCTCAAAGATTGGAATAGAATAGCACGTGAACAACAATCATAGATAAATAGATATGTAGCAACACTTTGAGCATAGAAAAATACAGGTCACTTCAAGTCAGTAAACTCATACTATCCAGGATGATTTATTTCGTGTAATTTTCTAAACTATTTATTTTGTTTGAAAAATGCACTTTTTTATTTTTTGTGTTATTGTTTATTTTATTATTTCAACAGACGTATATCAACTTGCATTAACCGCTATAAAATGTGATAACCTAATCGCCACCCAGTATAGGCTTCAATTAAAAATCCTTAAACACATAGCATCTCCAAACAATAGGGAAAGATTCAACACAATAATGTTAAGTTGTTAAAACATTTTATTTTTTCCCATTTATACACAATTTAAATATTCTTTAATTTTTTTGTATATTATTCAATTTCTTTAATGAAAAACTTACTGAAAAAATTAAACAATCCATATACACACAAGCAGTCGCACAAAATTATTTTCATACTACCCATGCTAATAACATCTACAGCAAACTATCAGCTACTTACCTAGTTCCCCGAATAATGAACAACTTACCATTTTCTTTATTTATACAGAAGAGAGAAAATATTAAAACTAAATTAAAATCTTACTTCCTACTTAATGCTGATCTTGATTTTTTTAATTAGCTAATTTATCAAAATTATAATTTAGTCCGATATTTAAACTATTTGCAACACAATGTAATGACTTATATTCTATTTTTCTTTATCATACATGTAAATATTGATGTAGATGATTATTTACAAACCTTTGTGGCTTATAGACACTATTTTATTACTTATGTTTTTGTATTCAACTTTGCAATGATAAATTAAAAAAAAAAACACTGTATGACACACATCAATGTAACTTAGAAAACATTTCTTATAATGAAAGGCATGTGGTATGTGTAAAGGCATGTGGTATGTGGAATCCATGTCTTCTTGCAGTGCTATTTTATAAAATATTGCAATGCAGAGTTACAATTACTTACAAACTTTGGAATTGTTGGCCAACTTGGTTTATATTTATAATCAAATGACAATAATTATCATTTGAATGATATGTGTGTATACAAGTAATGTACATAAAAGTATATTTTACTTTTTATATTAACTAGACTATAAGTATAGAAAAAATAAAGTACAACAAAGTTTTTACTTTTAACATAGGTTGACTAACTAGCAAGTAAAAAGTTATTAAAGAACAACTTAATTGCTATGTTTCTCCTTATTTACATCTCATTTAAAGGGTAAACACATAAGTATCATAATATTAAATGTATTGTATAAGCAACACAAAAATTTACCTGATTTCTACTCTGCTCTTGAGAATTAACACTCTTCAGAATATTTATTTTATTTGCTAACTGGCCCTGAAAAATAAATTTAATGTGTGTTTGGGTCGTAGTCATCATGAATTGTTTGACTTACAGCTTTGTTTTGAAAATAATCAGATTTACTCAGATCCATATTGTTAATTTTAATTATCTTAAAACATAATCATCATACCTGTTGCATATTTGACATTTAAGTTGTTTTTTTTGTTTTTTTTTGTCCTTATATTAATTTTATAAATCAAGAATTCTATAATCGTTTATAAAATGATTTTTTAATATTAAACAGTTTCCCTGTCCGCAAAACAGATGTAGTTTTATTAACATAAATATGAAGTAAATATCTATATGTTGAAAACTAACTAATCTTATATATATGTCAAAATATGCTTAGTATGTAACTATGAGCATCAGAAATCACTTCTTCCAAAAGAACTACTGTTTATATTTGCTTGTAACAAACCTTGCTTGTTGTACAAATGTAATAAAAATAGAAACTTACAGAAGGAAAAATGGTTGGCACTGCATCATCACAAAGCTTAACTACATCAAGAGTTTTATTAATAGATTCTCTTGCAGAATGCGGGAACATATGTGGTTTTGTTTTTCTGTTGGGTTGATATTTTCTAAACCAATAGAGTCAAGCCACATTTTTGTCTTTTCCTTTCGTTTTTTGGCAACCTAAAAATGATAGAACAGAAAATACTGATTTAGATCTATGAAGCTGTAAATAATATTACAAATTAAACAACAGCATGAGTGTTATACAAGTTCACTTAGAGATAAAAAAATACTTAAAATTTTTGTATATTGCATTATTAGAAGGCACTGATGGGCTATTATATCCAATGTAGTGTTGTGTCTATACAATAGATTCAATACACTGTCTCATATACACAAGTAGTGGGGGTAAAACGTCATTCGGTTGTTGCACTGAGTGCCGGCGGGCAGTTGCCTTGTGGAGTGCTCCGAGGTAGGACGTGTACCCAGCAGGACTTGGTGTTATAGTGAGCCAGTGTTAAGTGTAGTGAATATTATTCTATAAAAGTTCTACATCCAATATATAACAAAGTGGGTTCTCCAGCTGTCAAGTAATAAAGTCCCTCTGAGGTATTTGCATATATAATACATGGTTGCCTACCAAGGGAGATGATTGCAGGCGCATGATTATAGCAATCTTTGTTGCTTTGCTTCAATTTTATTATAGCAGAAGCAGGTTCCTAACATTATGTGACTCAGTTTCCATAAAATTTATTTAAATATTTATGCTCACTGCTCACATCCATGACACTGATGCAAGGCATCTACATAATACAATAAACACCTTATTAAAGTAATTGAAAGAATTTATGTTAACCCTTTACCGCATGAATATTTTAAATCACTCGGAAAAAATATATGTTGATAAGTAGCCTAAATGAAGGCCTTAAAAATAGAAAAAAAAACAAATTGCATTATTGAAAAATTAAGGGGGGAAAAAAAGTCTTTGTTCCAAATCTGGAACATCATGCATTCAGGCACGCAATATTGGATGTTCCATTTTTGGAACATCATGAATTAAATATAAAATAAAAATTTATTAATTATTTTTTAAATTATAACTTTTATTCATGCAATAATGTGAAACAGTTGCGATCTTTATTTAAACACAAGTAACACATTTACTGCACATTATTTGTGATTTATGGATGCATCCCTTAGATTTGCATCTTTGGCGATCATTTTTCCGTTGTGGCCAATGATTAAAGCCATCTTGTGATATTTCTATTGATGGTAGTTCCAGTCTTCGTCTTTTCTTAATATTTTCCTCTTGGGTAAGAGGACGACCTCTTTTTCTTGTCGTTGGTGTAAACACGCAATTTAAAATCCAACAAGGGCGTATACGAGACTTCTTCTGTTTGCACCATGCTCCTTCACTACAGGAGCCAGCTGTTGACGCATATCAGGTCAACCATGTGGAAAAATATCCTGTGGTACCATTTTTTGCACCTATTTTAATTCAAGGTCAACACCGCCTATATATTTGTTATATATTGCCGTTGCTTTTGGAAATGGGATATCTACTTTTGCCTTCTTTTGCTTTATGAATCTAGACACGGACCCCATTGGATCCTTTCCTACATACGACATGGAACATAAGCTCACGGTGTTGTTGTCCACACAATTTATTACTGATATCTGGACATCATGGATGACAGTAGATTTTTCTGTGCAATGTCCTCTTTTATGTTTCATAAGAATTTTTTGCAGATCAATATTTTTGGCACTATCCGGGATGATCCAAGGTTTAATTCGAGTTAGATTTCAGAGTTTTCCAAAAATAAAAAATAAAATTATATTATTAACACGCACTGCATGATGTTCCAAATTTGGTTTTGTACTAAACTCATAGATAAGAGTGTATATACGGAAAACTAAACTGCATATTGTTCCAAAATTGGCACTACTAATAAAATTCCCATTCATCCCAATCATTTTCGTCCAATATCCATTCTACCCTTTCTTTCCAAAATTTTAGAATCCTGTCTTTACAAGCAAATTTCTAGTTTTATTTCGAAACATAACCTACTGAGTATATATCAGTCTGGGTTTCGTCCTGGTCATAGTACCACTACTGCATTAATTGATGTTATTGATAATATTAAACAAGGCATGGAAGAAAAAAAAATAACAGTACCGGTACTAGTTGATTTCTCAAATGCTTTCAACACAGTTAATTATGAAATCCTTCTTTCCATACTGTCTCATCTGAATTTTGGCCCCACTGAATTGGATTGGTTTGCATCTTATCTTCGCGGTCAACAGCAGTCAGTCAGTGTGGGGCAACCGTCCTCAGCTTGGGCTGATGTGGATGCTGGTGTGCCGCAAGGCGGTATTCTTTCTCCTATAATGTTTTCAATTTTTATAAACTTTATTACCTCCATCATCGACTGCTCGTACCATTTATATGCTGATGACCTTCAGCTTTATGTGCAAACTGAGATTGGGGATATCCATAATGGGATCAAAAACCTTAACGGCAACTTAGCAGCTATCAAGGATTGGTCTACTCATTATGGGAGTTTTGGTCAATCCTTTGAAATGCCAAGCTATACTGGTGGGTAGCTCAAGGATGCTGGCTAAGATTAATCTGACAGACTTACCTCCTATTTACTATGATAATACTACAATTCCTTTCAGTAATTCTGTTAGAAATCTTGGCCTTCACATCGACAGCATGCTGAATTGGAGAACTCAGGTTTCAGATGTGAGTCGTAAAGTCACTGCCACGTTATGCTCTCTGTATTGTTTAAAACATTTTCTTCCCACAAAATCTAAGATCATGCTTGTCCAATCAGTTATATTACCCATAATTGATTATGCAGATGTGTGTTACCCAGACCTGTCCCCAAGATCTTCTGAACAAGCTGGAACGCCTCCTCAATAACTGTATAAGATTTATCTTTGGGCTTCGTAAGTATGATCATATTTCTCAATACAGATCTAAGCTAAATTGGCTTACAATCCGGCAGAGGCGCAACTCCAGAATATTACTTGTACTTTTTTCCATATTAAATGATCCATCTTCGCCTTCTTATCTTAAGAGTAAATTTCATTATCTTTCTTCATCTCATGATAGGGTCCTACGCTCTTCTTCTAACAACAAAATCTGTACTCCAGTTCACTTCACCGAGTTCTATGGTAACTCCTTCACAATTCAGGCTACACGCCTTTGGAACTCCTTGCCCGATGACATCAGAAAAGCTCCCAATAAGTACGCTTTTAAAAAGTTGGTCCGTGATCATTTCTTAAAGACAATGCATTTTACATGACTCAACTATTTAATATGTATTGCCAAACAGACGTATATATTCATAGACATTTGTATATGCTAATTATGTATGTATTTAAATATATATATACTTGTATGTATATCCATTTATTTATATATTTGTATATATGTAAGGATAGATCATATATGTATAGTTTATTTATTAGTAGTTTGTATATATTATGTAGTTAATTATCATTTGTATAGTGTTCTCTTATTGCCACACCTACATCAAATTCTCACCACTCCATGGGTTGACTGGTAGAGAATGCCTCAAGGCATTAAGTCCGCCCTTTGTATTCTTTTGTTTAAGGATGCAATAAAGAATAAAATAAATAAATAAATAAAATTCTTACTGCATAGTGTTCCATATTTGACCCGTACTTTTGAGGACTAATTACGTAATGCTGCAAATATTATTACTTACGTTAAATACCGTACAAATGTTGAGAATCCATTCTTCTACATTGTGAATAAGGCTATCACGTCTTTTTTTTAAAATACGGTGTAACATCTATAATCTATATTTGCAAATAACGCAAGCAAAATGGTGGACTCGACTACTTTTTTTTTTTGGAGTATAAATATGTGGTATCTAGACCTTTAGGCAACTCGACTACTTTATCCATAGACAGTGTTGCCAGGTCAAGGTTTTACTTTACCCTAGGCTTGGTCTCAATTTACCCTAGAATCTGTATTCTTTAAAAAAATACCCTAAAAAATATCCTTGTCTTTTCCTTTTTTACAAATAAAACAACTACATTATTTATTCATATTATTATATTATTGGCACATAACAATAAAAGTATCCTCTGCATCTTTATCTTTTTTGTCATACATGCTATTATTAAATTTGTCCAACATTGTTTTTGAAGGAGTGAAGTTAACACAAGATTTGTGAAATATGTTTAAATTGTATCTTACAGTCATTATACTCTCTATCATAGGCAGGGATAGCCTATTCCTAAGCTTTGTTTTGACGACTGAGTATAGAGAAAAGGCCCTTTCTACGGCTGCATTAGATATAGGCGCCGACAAAAGAGACAATGCTAATTTAGAGACATTAGGGAATCTTTTATTACCCCCAGCGTCTGTGTCCCCCTGAACCTCAGCCCAAAAATCAGTACAACGCGTCGTATTTTTCCAAGATTTGTTTTGCAAATTATTCCATTCCATTTCTACCTCTTGCTTATACTTCAGCCCTTTGAACATTTTGTAATATGTCAACTAATGTAGGTTTCACTTGAGAAGTGGCTATTTCTGGAGACAACTTCACCATGGCTTTAAGGAATGTGATCTGTTTTGGCAACCTTTTCTGTAATTCGGAACACAAAATAACAAGAAAGGTTTTGCGTCTCTCACGTACGTCTTCTTTGTCACGTCTGTCTAGTTTCGATAGCGCCTCTTCAACCGTGTAGCCAAAATGCATTGCTGATACATGCATCAAATGCTCCTGAAAACCAAATGATGCATATTCTCCATCCGTAACAGTTTCAAGCTTCCGAGGTATGACAATAACTTGTAGGATATTTTTGAATAGCAAAAACAAGTCTTCTAACAGTTTCGCTGGATCGACATTATCACTTTGGAAAAGGCAATTTACTTTAGTAACTTGTCGTAGATGAACATCTAAGAACGTGAAATATGCATGGTAAGCTCTGCATTTCATGATGTCATACAATTTTTCCGCCATGAAACATTTGTCTTCAGTCTTAGCCATCATGAAAAGAAGCTTTAATTCCTCCCATTGCTCGAGTAACGTACGTATAGCATGAGAACGTGCTAACCAGCGTGTTCCGCAAAATCCTGGTATTTTTTTTTTTTGTAACTCGACTTTCGTTCATAATTCCGTACAAGTCCCTGTAGGGTTCAAGGCGTTTTGAACTATACGAGAACCAATTGTGGCATTCCCGAATCAAAAATTCTAGTTGACGGGGCATACGTTCCGAAGCTTTCTCTGCACATAAATGCAACGAATGACAGGTACAATTAACGATGATAATATCCGGTAAGTCTCTTTTCAACAGTGCTGCGACAGAGTGGTGCTCACCAATCATTACAATAGTACCGTATAGCCCAATCCCTACCAGCATTTCAAGACGTAAGGAGTCCTCTAGTAAAGTATTTTTTGTAGTTTCATAGATGGTTGTTGCATCGCATTTAGATATTTTTATGTATCTGTAAAATATTGTAATGATATCCTGCTTAATTTTTGAAAAATACCGTATCATTATGCACAGAATGTTTTCTGTTGATATGTCCGTAGTTTCATCTAGAATAAGTGAATATGCAGCATCACCAACACCTGATATTATTTCTTGCATCATTACTGGACCAAGAACGTTTTTATTAGCATGCTGCATTTAGTTCTGTGTATTTTTAACGTCCCCAGAACTTCTGATTTCAGATCAAGACATGGCAGGATTTCACCTAAATGATCTACATTTTGAATAGCACTATGTTCAACTATATAAGCAGCTGTTTTTAATTCCGCAGTTTTGTTATTCTTTGAAACTGTTTTTATAAAAGGCAATTGCTGACAGGACTTCGCCGCTTTATCTAATGACACAGCTTTTATGTGTTTTTTACTCTTTGCGTGATAGTTAAGTTCTTTCTTGTGGGGTACTAATGTGACTTTACAATATTTGCACCTTGCATAGTTTTCACCAGTGGGGTCAGGACAAATCCAATCTAAAAATAAAAAATGTAAAGCGTTAACACCACCGCACCGCCGCCACCATTCATCTTCATCATCACCACAATATGCATTTATCTTTATCCATCACCACCACCACCCGTAAAATATACCTACAGATGTGGGTAAATTTTGCAACAGGCAACTCTTATACATTACCAAAGACATTCAAATAATATTAACAGCCAACCTGCCAAACAAAGTACAATACAATCAAAGAAAAACAGTTACAATAATGCTTGTGTAACCTCAGTCTCATTGCTCAATTAGATTAATACATATTATAGCTTTAAGAAAACTGGACTTACCTTTTAAATTTGGATCATACTCCCACTCTTTACAGTATTTTTGTGCATACTTTTTCACACCTGAACGCGTAATGCCAGCACTAGACGACGCCATTTTTCACAACACACACTCTCGAAAAGAAAGAGCAAGCAACACAATAACTAAGAAACTAGAGAGAGACACAAAAGCAATCGGTGCGTTCACGACACGGAATCTGTAATGGGCGCGTTCAAAAACAATATCATTCAAAGTAATTATTTTACTGTTATTGACTGTTACCCCAAAAATACCCTAGGAAAATTCATACCCTAGAAATTACCCTGCTGGATTACTTTTACTCTAAATATAGGGTAAATTACCCTAAGTTGGTATCACTGTCCATAGATTACTGTACTGTATATATAAGATATATAACTCTATCATCAGCACAGAACACTATTACTCCTACCGATCATCAGAGATCAGAGCATAGATTACTGACTATGTACGATCAGAGTACAGATATCAGATACCACATGCACCTATAGTGATGTAGGAGTAATAGTGTTCAGTGGATGCCACCTGTACTATTTTCGCAGACTACTAAGAGGATACTACGCACTATTTTTGTTGAAAAGAGATCCTTGGTAAGAGAATTAGTGCAAAATCCAGCACAGAAAAACGTTAGAGACAGTTTTATTACGACAAATAACTTGTGTTCCAAATTTGTCACAGTATGCGGTTTAGGGTTAACAATGTAACATCACTATTTACGAACAACAAAATATTGTAGGTACGCAAAGAATAATAAGAAACAATTAAATAATATGAATTAAAGGTGTAAGGTAAATAATAACATTCATCTACTTACTTTGCGACAAGAAATAAACTTTTTTACGTTATATTTACAGCAAAAACAAAATTACTCACCTATGAAATGATAATTCGCGTGATTTTTGACTATATTTTGAGGCACAGCCTCTTACACAACACTTAGTCATCTTCGTAATTTATACTGAATTAGAAAATCCACTAATCAATTTCATAAACTGCTTAAAAATTTGTAAAATTTTTTAATAAGAAATATTAAACAACTTCTTTTATCAGCAAATCTCGAACTATAAATTAATATAAATGGCGGAATCGGCCGCACGCCGCAAGACGGGATCAGGATTAAATGACGTCATCGTAAAAATGTTTTTTATACATACACAAAACAATTTCAATCGTCTATTTCTTTTATGAATGACACTTTTAGCTGAGTTAAAAAGAGAAAGGCAGCGTATATTGATAATTCAATGTCGAATTTAACCATATTTGTATAACCATATAATAGACGCTTGGGCAGCTCCTCTATTTTCTATAGGTACTCAAAGTAGCAACTAGCAACTCGACCCGCCGTTTATACAAAGGTACTCTGTGCCGACCCGGTAGCAACCCGTAGACAGAGAATTCTCTGTCTACGTAGCAACCTTTCTCTGTCTATAGCCCGTTCACCGTAAGATGTCCCCTGCCTTGGAAAATGGCAGCATTGTCTACGGTGCTGCCAACAATATATGGAGCATTTACCCCACTTGGTGGTTTCTGGCAAAATTATCTAAACTTGAAAACCTTACTTTTTTACGTTTTACTTGCTTATTTAAATAATATACAGTTAGTTATAAGACTAGTAAGGTTGTGAATGATAACACAATTTAATTTTTAAATTATTTATTGATTTATTTTTTCCGACAATAATTATGGTCGAAAGGAACAATTCCAGACATATTCATATCACTGTCACTTACATAAACGTCATCATCATCATCTGTCGTATCCGAATCTGTGCTGCTGTCATTTCCTAATTCAATTATGAATTTATCAGTAATATCATCCATACAGCCATCAAGTACATAAAACTTGTCTTCTAAATTTATTACGTGTTCACACTGCTTTTGCCAATCCTGAGGGGTGATAGATGAAAAAGCTTCTTCAGTTAACTTCACGATATTCCCAGCTTCTTGGCCGACATTATTGCTGGCTACTCGTCTCTTTAAAAGACTCCACATAAACTCAATCGCATTTAAATCGCAGTGGTAAGGGTGCAACCTAACCACTTTATGGCCATGAGAAAGCAATAATTGGCCAGCCTCATAAATCGGCGGTTCTTTGTGCCCTTTTATAATTTCATAAAGTTCTGCTTTCAGCATTGTTGGTATATAAGACAATCCCATATTTGTTAATTTTGCATTTGAAGTTTTGAGGAAATCATAGTAGGTGCTTTATTTACTTGTACGGTATGATAGCGAGCGTTATCCATCACGACTAAGGAGTTCGGAGGCAAATTGGGTATAAGTTTCTTTGAAAGCCATTTTATAAAATTGGTTCTGTTCATGTCGTCATGGTAGTCCCCTGATTTACTCTGTGATTTAAAAATCAATTGAGCATTAGGAATAAACCCTATTTCTCCACCTGCATTAATAATTATCCACCGCGTTCCAACAGAATCACTTATTAGTACTCCGTCCTCGTCATCTTTTTGCCAACATTTTTTCACTGCATACGATGCGTGA